CTGTAAAAACATAGGTACCTTGTTTGTTACTGGTATATAAGGTCAATTTATTAGACGCCGCTTGCAGATATGCGTTTGTCCATACAGCAATGGGGAAAATTTTAGACTCAATTTTGTGTGTTTGTTTTTGTTTTAACAAAATCACACTGTTCTCAAATTTTCTAATAAAATAGCTTTTCTGATGAACAACATGCCACGGAGCTTTAAGGGATTTGAATAAACGTCTTAGTGAAATGATAATGCCATGTTTGAATATCATATTCTTTTTATCATTATCTAATTTTATTTACATAATAAATTAAGTGCCAATGAGCCAGTCTATAGTCGATCGTTCTAAAACTTAACCTTTGAAAGAGGTAACGACTGGAGGCAGTGTTACTTACTTCATTTGCTCGCGCCTCTGTTGAAGTTCGGCTCCGCCTCAAATTGTCGCAAAAATTTAAAATGATGCTCCGTATGCTCGCATTTAGTCTTCGTTGACAGGGCAGAAGGGAACCAGGACAACTTTGATCAATATCACTTTTCGAATCATTAAATTACAAGTCACAAAGCCTAAACCACGTCCATTATCAGAGAGGCGGTTCCTCCGCAACCGTAAACTCGTTAGGCTACGGCCAGTAAGGGGAGATCACTGCAGAACAGTTCGTCCTCAAAATCATTCGAACATTATGCAATTCGTACCAATATTAAAAAAATGGATATATTCTCGGCACATATTGTCTTGAATTCATACCAATCATTTTCAATTATACTTATACCAGACGTTTCAATCTTTGTCGCAACAGAAAAACATTTTAGAATTTCAGAAGAAGAAGAAGAAGAAAGTTTTATTTAACTTATACATATACATGTATCTCGTTATACATCAATACATATAAAACATTTTGTCACGGTTGGTATTCAAATGAAAGAGAATAATTAATGTTTCAGTTTATACAATATGGAGAATAAGCTTTAATTAACATGAATTAGATATTGAATAACTGCAATTGTTCACTAATAAAGTGTCTAACAGTGAATATAATGAATATTTAATTATAGTCTTAAAGTCTAGGATATGAAATTCAATAAATCGTTTCTTTTCTTATGGCTAAATAAATAAATTTGCTAAGATTGTTAAGAACAGATTTATTGTTTGACTTAAGCATTTCTATGAATTTGTACATACTGGGTCTACGATAAAAATAAAACGTTTTAATTAATCGAATTTTTAAATTCATGGTAAACACTGCATATAAGAAATAAAATGATACTCGTCTTCAAATCTCAGAGCATTGACACACTTGGCATAATCTTTTCCTGTCTATCTATTCTATTCCTACCAATATCTACCTGTTTGAATTCTAAGATTATGCGAAGAAATTCTTAAACGCGTAAAACTACTCCTTAGATATTTAGATTTGATAGTATTTAAAAATAATTTTCAAAATTTTAAATCTGTTTTTAGATGAATAAAAGAGTGTTTAAAACACTATTATTGTTTAAATCTGCTTGCCATTTTTGTTTAAAGCAATCCAAGACTCTTTTGTTTAAAATGTACCAAAAATGCATTTATATTAATTTCATTTGTTTTCAAAAAATACATCTGCAAAACCATAATTTTCTAATATCAGTTTAAACATTGTATGTCAATTTTTTACACCATTTTAACATTGTTTTAATGTGTTATTATATATCGTATTAAAATAATATTATTTGTATTTGAAATTTTCAACCAATATTTTATCATTTGAACATATCTGTTTATATATAAAGGGTATCTTCCTAATTCTCCGTATACAGCCACTATTGATGGAACTTTTCTTAACGGCCTAAAATATATTTGCAAAATTTGAGAATGTACACTTTCAATATCTTTTGACTTAGAAAATCCCCATAACAGGACATGCATAATTCAAAATAGAGCCAACAAAAGAATCAAATAATTGTAAAGAAAATATATGGTGATAAGTCTACCTTATTTATATTATTTTGTAGAACGTTACATGCTTTTATGGCTTTTCCAATAATATATTGATTATGTAAAACAAATGAACCCGTATAATTTAAAACTACTCCTAAATAGTTGAAATCATTAACTATGTCTATTGTTCATTATTATAAAAAAAAGTTTTTCGTTCTGTCTCAAGGGGCCCCTTTTTCTAAATATATACGACTTTTGTTTTTGAAGTATTAACTTGTAAACCCCAGTATGTACAAATATTCATATAATAAGTTTTAGACTGGATTGTAAATCTTCTATAGAATGTCCTACTAACACCATATCATCAGCAAAGAGTAAAAAATGATACAAAGTTCAAAAATTGACAAACCACAATTTATTCTGTTTTGTAAATATAGTTTTAAGTCCTCTAAAAAAAGTGCAAACATAACCGGAGAATTATTCAGGCCTTGACGGAGACCAATTGAAATTTCAAAAAAGTCTGAGAATGTGTTGCAATACTTAATACATGATTTAACAACAGTATACATAGCCTGGAACATTTTTAAAATTTTTCCATCAAAACCCATGTTAAACAATTTGAACCATAAAGCGTTTCTATAAACAGAGTCAAATGCTTTCGTGAGATCTATAAAAGCGCATGGCAGTCGCATTTTTTGAGTTAAAACATGTTCTATCAAGTTATGTAAAACAAATACCGCGTCGACTGTACTACTACCCCTACGAAAGCCAAACTGTGCATCTGTTATCATCAAACCATTTTTCAGCTCTTCTAGTAAGAACAGAAGTAAAAAGTTTTCCAAAATTACTAATGAGAGTTATTCCACGATAATTATTCGGGGTATTTTTTGGGCCTTTTTTATGTAATGGCACTATAAAAGCCTTGAGACCAAATTTCGGGGAAAGTGACCAGAATCAAATATCTTATTGAATAAATCTGTAATAATGCCCAACGAGTATATCTGCTGTAGAGATAAAATATTCGTTTAACAAATTATCGCTTGGGCAAGATGATTTGTTACTTTTAAGACGTTTTAATTGCTGACAGTAACCTCATTACATGTAATAGGAGTATTTTTAATTCCTCGAAAGTTGCATTATTGATATTGAAATCATTGTTTGCTATGAAATTTTCAAACCTTGTTCGATAAATGTGCTTTTGAATATCAGTAAAAAATCCCTTTAAAATAATCGCGGAAATCATCAAATTAGGAATTTGTGAGTCAGTAGTATCTCGCTTGTTTTTTAAAATGCTTCCAAAAATCTTTAGGTTTACTGGTTTTTCAGACGGGTAAGTTCATCTGCCATTTTAATTTTTATATGCGCGTTTTCTTTTTACGTATCAAAATTTTTATAAGATTTCTTTTTATTGCAAAGGGAAAACCCTAGACTTCAGTCGATTTATTATTATTAAAATAAAGCTAATGCACCTTTATATATTCGTTTCGCCTGAGCGCACTCAGAATCAAACCATTTGCTCTCTGGATATGAACGGTTATTACCATTACTGAAAAAATATGCTTAAATAATGGATCTGCTACATCGGAAACTAAATGTGAAAATCAAGAACCATTTGTTCTATTTCAATAGAATTGGCAACATTGCTATTCAAAATATCGTTAAATCGTGGTAAAATTCCTATAATACCCACGTCTAAAACTGATCCTTACAATCGACATCCCATTTAAAAATAAACACCATTGTTGGGGTTTTGTTATTTTTTCATCGATACCGGGTGAAGCGCTTTAATCGTAAATAAAAAGTAACGCATGGTCGCTATAAATATTGAATTCACTATTCTACAAATTGTGTATTAAAACGGGAAAAGTGTTTTTCTTGTAACAAGAGATAATCTATGTACTAGTACTGCACGTCTGACGACAAATAATATGTATACGAGCCAGTGGCAAAATCATCACCTAATCTACCGTTAGCTAATCGCATACACGTTGACTTACACAATTGCGAGCAATTTAATACCCGTGTGTTACATACAGTATCGGATGAGGCCCGTACTATTGTTTATCGGGGTCATAATTTTCGCAATCAATTTCTTGAATTTCCCGATCACATAAAATATAATCATTTTTGTTTCCAACTCTACAGTTCCAATCACATGCAAGCAAAACTGTACCTAATTTTTCGAAATAGAAAATATCTTGTTCAACTATATCAAAAAGATCTGCATTAATAATATTACATATAGGTGACTCATCCGACCGTATATAAACACCGCCAATATAAACATCATCAATAAAATCAAAAAACAATTTATCTAACTTTAACCAAAGTATCGTATCATAATGGTTTTTTACTATCTTAACACCAGATTTAATAGAATTGCGAATATACACAACAATACAGACATAGCATTACTTTGTGAATTTATGCATTAGGTTCTATTTTTTCACAAAAATATGCAACTTTATTATCAAACGAGCACATACCAAGAACATGGAGAAATTGATTTGTGCTTCGGATATTCAACTGTAATAGAGAACGATTTTCAATGCTGATTGACTGTTCACATCATTTGGCGGCGTCTTTGATGTAAAACATCAATATTTAATTTAGTATTTTTTATAATTATTTCTGTTTCATAAAGAGCTGATTTAGGAGTTTTTTTTTTAAAAAAAAAACCCCATCATTTTTAAAGGGATGGGATGATGACACAACTGGGCAAGCTTTCCTTTTAAAAGGAAACTTTATTTTAATTTAATCTACAAATGAAATACTAGTTATTTTTTATGCAGTTTCTGTTTTTTCTTAAACCCTTTGTATAACCGTTTTACTTTAATTACAGGCAATTACCTTGTTTTATAACGACATTATATACGAACTTTATGAATATGGATTTTATTTTACTGATTTTATTACCTTTTTTAAAATTACACTTACACAGTTGATTTACTGCTTTTAAATAATAAAAAAAATTTTTTTCCTTCAATTATATTTGGTCGACATGAAGATGAACAAAATGCTTTAAAAATTCCTCTATGAAGTATTACATTCATACCATTGATTACAAGAGATGCACTATTTCGTTTATCATTATTAGATGATTTTGCCCAGACTTCGTCTCCATGAGTACCGGTCTGCGGACATTGACTCATATCTTTCAATGTGTATCGAGATTGGATGGCTAATGGTTGTACAAGACCCGCCTTTAGAACTTTTAGAGGACGCCCCAGACAGATTTGATACAACCACATTTAAGGACTACACAAGACGGGGACGCTATACTGAATTTGTTGTTTGGCCAGCATTACTTCTACACAAGAATGGTCCTCTTCTGGCAAAAGGAGTAGCCCAAGGTTCTGATCATTCTTTTAAATCACAGAGTCTTGGAAGAACACACAAGATAGAGAAACGGAATGAGACAAAAATGGTTGGCACGTTTACTGCACGAAGGGGCAATAAAAGACCAGCAATTCAAAGTTCTACGTTTCGATCACCGATTTACGAGGATTCGAGCAAAGTAACCCATATCTAAAGCAATTCAATTACCTAACATCAGATTTATATATATATTTCCATAGGTTGTTATAACTTATTAATTTAATATGTAATTATCTTCAACATACGCTGCTTTCTTTACGGATTTAAACTTTTTTGAAGTTGTTATTTTTTATATTAACCATTACATGTTGTTTACAGGAAAACCTATCTGTCGCATGTTATACTCGTTGATATACATGTATACATACTATTCATAGGTTATAAACTTGATGCATACCATAACGTTTTTAAGTATGACCATATCGTACATTTACTTATCCGAGGTGGTCTGATATATCATTTATAGATTATGTAGTAGATATGACCAGTTGTATACAATGACATATACAATTTATATCCTTTCAAGGACAGCGCCCACAAGAGGTACGCCGGGGATGATCTGAGTGTGCTATCGTAGAATATTAATTGACTGACTGATGATAAAAAATGTAATAAGGACTTTATTTCTATCTTAAATAGATATAATATAGTGTTTTTGTATGAAGCATGGACAAATCAAAAAAGTAATATTGATTTAAACGGATATGTATCTTTTAACTTTATAGAAAGTTTCAGCATCGTAATGCACGGAGATCAAGTGGTGGGGTTGCAGTTTATTATCATGAATTTTTGAAAGACGGTATTCAAATTATCCGCATTCACTATGACATAATTGTATGGTTAAAACTAGATAAAACATTCTTTAGATTTGAATCAGATGTATATATTGGTGGTATTTATTTATGGTGTGACGATTCTCATGCGTAGACAGTGTATAATGTAGATCTTTTTAAAATTATTGAAAATGATATTTTTGAATTTGATAATGATGGTGATATTTATTTAGTCGGAGACTGGAATAGTCTTGTTTGCCTTCAAACATGATTATGTGATATTTGACACGTTGAATGATGAACTAGATTTACAGGATTATGTAGCAGATGAACCCCTAGCCCGGGCCTCTACAGATAAAACATGTAACACGTTTGGTAATCGTTTACTTGATCTTTGCAAAAGCACTGGAATTCGAATAGTTAACGGTCGTTTATATAGTGATTATATAATCGGAAATTGCACGTATTTCTCGAGGCAAGGGTCGGCTGTTATTGATTATTTAATTAACAAAACCTGGTAATTTTTCAAGCCTTAGAGATTTTATTATTTTTGGTTTTAACGAATGGAGTGACCACTGTCCTATTTCTTTTAGTTTACATTGTAATATTGTTATTGAAAATTGTATTTATGATAATGAAATATTTGTTTACTATAGATGGTCTGCAGATTTGAAAAATCATTTTAGATCAAGTCTTTTAACAAGATTACCTCTTGGAAACAATCTGACTAGTAAGATTGATTTGCAAAATAGATCGTCAATAGATAATATATTGTTAAATTTTACGTCTATTATTCATTATGTAACGGATCCTTTATTTCGTCAAAATGTTACTATTAAAAACGCAGTCTCAAATATTGTTTAGCCATGGTTTGACCATGAATGTGAACGGTCAAGGCAGTTGTATATATATATTCTTTGTCAAAATTTTACCGTTTTAAACCTCCAACAAATAGGGAACAATTATGCTTTTTAAAGGCTAGGTATAAGGCTATAATGAGGAGAAAACGAAATTGTTATAATCTCAAGCAAGGTAAGGAAATTGAATATTTAAGGTTATCAAAACCAAAAGAGTTTTGGAAATATTTTAAAAGAAAAAATGTTGTTACTAATAATCTTTCCCTAGAGTCATTTTTCAAATACTTTTCTGAACTAGGAAATGATATATTTCAAAATGTTAATGTTGAATCTGAGGATTTTGCCTCAACTCATGATTTCAACTTTAGTGATGATGCTGATGACTTTTAAGATCGGCCAATATCTATTTAATGACATCATAGATGCTTTCAATTCCTTGAAACGAGGAAAGGCTTACGGACACGATTTTCTATTGAATGAATATTTTATTGAGTCAATTGATATATTGTCTTCACATTCATGTGATTTATTTAATGAAATACTTGATAGCGGATATTTTCCGGATAATTAGACTGAAGGAGTAATAATTCGTTTGCACAAAAAGGGAGATAAGAATGAGGTAAATAACTATAGAGGCATAACTTTATTTAGCTGTATGTCAAAAATATTTGCATCTATATAAACAAAAGAATTTATAGCTATTGTGAATAAATTTGTTTACTGTCAGATGCCCAGTATGGGTTTAGAAAAGGCAAATCTACTGTTGATGCTTTATTTGTGTTATCATCTATTGTTCAGAAATATATTACCGACAATAAACGTTTGTATTGCGTACTTGTTGACTTTAAAAAGGCCTTTGACAGTGTTTATAGAAATGCACTTTGGTTAAAATTACATAAATTTGGTATCAGGGGTAAATTATTGCGTATTGTTAAGGATATGTACAATAAAGTTAAATCATGTATTAAAGTGTGTAATAGATATTCAGAGTTTTTCGAATATGCTGTAGGCTAACGTAAAGGGGAGATAATTTCGCCGGTTTTATTTTCTCTTTTTATTGATGACATTGAGTTATTTTTGCAGTATGATATAAATTGTGGTTTAGAGTTGAATGATATCATTCTAATACTGTTGCTTTTTGCAGACGATATGGCCATTCTAGGCAATTCACCTGAGGAAAAAAACAATAGTTTAGTTTTATTACACAATTACTACAAAGTGGAGTCTAAAGGTTAATGTAGATAAGACTTAAGTTATAGTTATTAGGAAGAATGGTGGTTTGTTGTCCCTCTGAAATTTTTTTGTATAATGACAAACGCCTAGAGGTTGTAAATGATTTCAATTTTTTAGGTACAGTTTTTAATTATGTTAATTTTGCATTAAACCAATAACAGCTTGTTGGTAAAGCTTTGTAAGCAGAACAGAACAGAACAGAACATTATTTTATTTCGACTTGTACATAGTACATAATCATAATCATACATAGTGTGATAATACATTGCGATACATTACAATACATTTTCAATACTAATTTCCAATGCATTAAAACAAACTTTAAAGACAATGTCACGTTACTTTAGTTATTATTTTAGAATGTTATTTCAAATTAACAAAAATTGGTAGTAAAGTGTTGAGGATAAACTGTTTTAAACATAATTAAATAAACATGTTATCATAGCAGACATATCTTCAGAAAAAATCTATACCATTGTTGTCACCTTCACTGCTTTTTTTCCTTTTCTCAGTCCGTGTACGCTTTCCTTTCCCCATAGATTTTACTGAATAACTAAATAATCGTAATTCCATTCAAAAATAACTTTCAACACTGTTTTTATCCGCTTATATTTCAATATTTATTAATTTTTCATCACTACATTTTTTATCGACTTGACCACAAGATCACGTGACATACCTTTTTGTAAGCGTTAAATGTATTACTGATAAACTGTAATAAATAGAAACTGAAACCGAAGTTATTATGCCAGCTATTTAACTCCTTTGTTGGAACAATCTTAAATTATGCAGCTGAGATTTGTGGCCACAGTAAGTCTAAAGAAATTGAAAGAATACATCTTAAAGTTTTGTAAAAGAATATTAAATGTAAATATAAGAACTTCAAATGCAGCTGTTTATGGTGAACTGGCTCGTTACCCATTGTATATTGGAGATATGTTAAGATAACTAAGTATTGGTTTCGCTTACTTGAAACAGATAACATTATTCTTAAAGAACTGTATAATTTGTGACTTAGTGATGGCAATAACGGTAAAAGTAATTGTTTAACTAAGGTAAAAAAATTATTATATCAATATGGTTTTAACTCTGTTTGGGATGATCCTACTATTGTTAACAGTAAATCATTTATATCTTTGTTTAAACAGAGACTGAAAGACACTTTTATTCAAAGTTTGCATGTTGATAAGGAGAACAGTGGTGTTTTAACATTGTATACAAACCTTAAGAATACATTTTTTTGTATGAGCCATACCTTGATATACTGCCTAGTAACTTAAGGTTATTAATTATTTAAATAAGCCCTTACGCATAAAAACATGTAGATATGGTATGAATAGAGTTGCTAGAAATGAGCGTTATTGTACATACTGTAATACACAATACACAGGACCTTGAAGTATACTTTTATGTCCATGCTATAATAATATTAGAAAAAATATATTAAACGTTATTATTCTATCAATCCAAGTGTAATTAAACTTGTAGAGTTGTTAAATGTAAACAATAAGATTATTTTGAAAAATCTTGCAAGTTATATTAAACTCGCACTTTCTCATTTATAACTAAATACAGTTCATCCTCTCAAAATATGAATTTGTGATAATGTGCTATTTTCCATTGTGACATCAAATCATATATATACTATTTATTTATGTATATGTATAATGATTATGTACTTATTGTACAAGTCTTGAATAAACTGTTTGGTCTGTTCTGTTCTATATCATTTTCACAAAATAGTGGTCAAACACGCATTCGTTAATATGGGAGATATAGAGGATATTTGTTTGTTTGTGTGTAAGATGAAATTTTATTTCATCGAGTGGGCTTTAAAAACAGTATTCTCGAATACTGTTTTTAAAGTTCACGAGATGAAATAAAATTAAATCTTACACAACAAACAAACAAATTTTATTTTTATTTTATGCTAAAAAACAAGTTTAAACGAAATTTTCATGACATTAACGTAAATATTAAAATCTGTTTTCCCCATTGAGAGCCCCATTTAGTCGGAATTTCTCATTAAAAACAAGAAGTCTTGAGCTGTAAAATAAGTCCGACAATCAAGGTTAAATGACAGTGATATTATTTACTTTGTTAAAAAAATATGAATGATCGCTTGTTTTAATAATAAAAACAAACAATTCTTGTAGGAGAAAAATTCCAACCATCCATCCATATTTCTGTTACTTACTGCGTATTTATATTACACCTGGCTTTGTTAAATGTAAGCGGCAGCCATTTTTTAAAGTTGTGTATTTCACGGGAGGAAAATATTTGTGTTTGATTCAGAGGGATATCATTTGGATTTGTTAATCATACACCTTTTTAAAAGAAAGAAAACATATTTGAGGATTGAAACAGACAAAAAATAAGTGTTGACATGTGAAAACATTCAGAAAAGGAGCTTGGAAAATGGAAAACTTGGAAGCTTGCTCGGAACGCTGGGTGGTTTAATTGTTCTACGAGGTGATAGCTGTCATTACTTTTCAATTTTTCATAAAGCGTACGGCAGTTATTGCTCGTAGGATACTTTAATGTGCCCAAATGTCATCAAGAGCAGTTTGCATGTGGAAGGAATGTATTTGTCAGACTGTAAAAATGAAACAAAAAATTTAGAGATGAAATTTGGTGATTGGAATTTGAATGAATAGAAGTAAGTTTTCTTCTTTTTATTACTTTTGACATTTAAGTTGATTATCAATTTCAGCTTTGCGTTTTCTTTAAACAGCCTGATATTGTCAGAATTGTCAGTAAAAATAAAATTGAGGTACCACATGGGGAAAATCTTAAAAAAGTAGTTTCGTCATTGAAAAAAGTGAAATTATATTTTGATAATTTTCACTGTGAAATTATCAAATATAATTTTCGCGGGTAAATCAGTAATCCACTTAAAAGCATAAAATAAATAGAGGATATTTGTTTAGTTCAGTGTAAGATTGGAAAATATTTCACCGAGTGAGCACCAAAAGGTATATTTCACGAGTGGCGCAGCCACGAGTGGAATATAAACTTTTGGTGTTCACAAGGTGAAATATATTTCGATCTTACACTAAACTAAGCAAATTTTCTTTTTATTATATGCAAGGAAACGTTTTAAAAAGACATTAAACCTAATACTAGATGAAAAGCGCGCCAAATAATAATACTGACGTAAAATTATGCTGGAAAAACGTCACTGAATGTTTACTTCTGCGCTTATTTTGAAAGGCTGTGACTAAAAAAAGGATTGGAGCACCACACTAAATACCGTATTCCGGTATATACCGGACAAGGCGCTTGAATGATAAAATGCTAAAATCTGGTCTTTTAACCCAACGGAAAGAACTTTAACAGGTCTAATTCATCTTTTCACACCGAATCAAGTACGATAATCAAGGAAAAATGTAAAAATCGGCGAAAAAAAACGATATTTGTCTATTTTGTGATCATGATTTCTGCAAGCGTCTAGAGGTATTGCTCCAATCCTGTATTGAGCTAAATCCATTTTGAAATGGGTAGAAAAGGTTCAGAATTGACCATTGATGTAAAAAATATTGCTGTTTGTATGTATAATGATGGAATGTCAATAGCGGAAATATCGAGAACTTTACAGAAACCTCACAGTACCATTTGATTTTAATCTGTTTTAAAAGAATTCAAATCATCAGGATCAGTGGAAAACTTACAAAGATCAGGCCGACCTCGATCAGTGACGGACAGAGATTATCGCCATCTTGAAAGGACTGTAAAGTGCAATCGTCGGGCTTCATTATCAGACATAACGAGTAAATTTAATGAGGGGAGAGCAAAGCAAGTTTGTAAGAGAACTGTTCAAAATCATTTACATAAACATGGATTTTCTAAAAGAGTGAGTAAGAAAATAGTTATGGTGTCAAAGGTATATAGAGCAAAGCGCCTTTCTTGGTGTAGAGAGAAAAGAAGGTCTAAAGTAGTAGGTGAATGGGATCGTGTGATATTTTCTGATGAAAGTCAAGTTGTAATAGGCAGTGACAATAGAGTTTTAATATGGAGGAAGCGTGACGAAGGGTATAGACCTGATTTATTGACTCCGAAATCTTCCAATAACAAGAAGGTGATCAAAGTAATGATATGGGGGTGTGTCACTTGGTATGGTGTTGGTACTCTAGCGAAAGTCAGTGGTAACATTAATGCTCAAAAATACGAGGAAATTTTAGAAGAAAATCTTTGGCCAGTTATTGCTCGTCATTTCCCCGATAACTTTTACACTTTTCAGGACGACAACGCACCTGTTCATCGTGCACGCAGTGTCAATCTTTATAAGACCAGAAACGGTATAAAATCTATGTTTTGGCCAGCACAATCACCTGATTTAAACATAATTGAAAATATCTGGTTATATATTAAACGGAAACTTTCAAACAGTACAGTTATCATAAACAGTGAGCAGATATTATATGAAGAAATTTTTCGGATCTGGCAAGAGATTACACCCGCCTATGTTCAGAGCCTGTACAAGTCGATACCACGGAGAATTATGCAGGTTATAAGGTTCAAAGGGCATTTAACAAAGTATTAAGGTTAGTAAACCGAGTTTAAAAGTTAGTTTACTCGTTCAGTTAATGTTAAAATCAAGTTTGAAGTCATGTATGTAAAAGACCGAAAATCCAAAATGGCCGCCAAATCACGAATACTTTTTTCATCTTTCTGTATCTCTGATATTTTGAATGACTTAAAGAGACGATGCATGTGTATTACGAAGCTGACTCCTTAGTGTTAACACAACATTTTTCTGTGGATTCTTAATTAAATTAAATTTAATTTAATTACTAAAATTAAATTTGTTCTTATACAAATTTGAGACATTAAAAAAAAAGAAGAAAAAAAGAGATTCATTACAGGGGAAAATATATTCACCGCAGCGATTCACACGTTCCTATATATTTATGCATATAAGTGTTATCGAATTACGTGAATTTGTATAGAAATACAAACGGGTAATGGCGACCTCTAAGCCTCAATAAGTTCATTATTTTAATTAATTTAGGTGATAAACGTTTCACGCATGGTTTTCCTTATATTCATTTATACATTTAAAGGAAATCAAATAAATATGTATTTGTAAACTAAAAGATTAAAAAATAAACCTTTGTCAAATATTTTCTTTTGCTTCAAAATGAGAAATGCTTAATGTTGCTTTTATAAAGTATGTAATTATCGGTACATGTTTAAGAACGCCATTGTCGTAAATTATGCAATACATACCTTAGATATCTTCTTCATTTCTACGTTTAGTTTACGCAACAAACAATTCATATTAGTCAATAAGCTTTTCTATTTATAATTTGATTTTGCTTTCGAATTCATTAGAAGTAAAAAAAAGATAAACAGAAAGGTGTGTAAAAATCATGAAAGGATTGTCCTTTAGACGGATTGCTCATGTTACGACAAAAATACATGAAAATTGCAAAGAAAAGATTACGAAAATTTATTTCATGCTTTCCAGTGTTTTATTGTAATATATCAGATGATTATATTCTGATAAACCACTAGAGAAATTTATATAATATAATTTTCACTGTAGCCGGACTATATCTGAATGCGGATGAAAGGAAAATCATAACTGAATGGAATAACAGGCAGAAATATATGCCGTCATGCGTAAATTTTGATTCTTTAGGAAAAGAAAGTCGATGTCATCATACATAATGTTAAAAATGTAACAAAATTAGAGAAATGTAACAGACTTATTTTTCAAAATTGATAATGTGACGTCATGATGTGATGACGTCACATGGGAGAATGCGCGACGTTACGCGGCAAAATAAGTAAAAAAGTACTTAAAATCACTTAAAAAGCATGAAATGAAAAGAAAATTTATTTGTTTTACATATAAGATTGAAATATATTTCATTCGTGAACACCAACTATTTTATTGGGAGATTCGAGGACGATTAGTTGTCGGACAACGCCAACCTGAATGAAAGCCGATATTCTAAATTCTAATCCACACCATAACATGTGCTGTGGCTACTAATAACCTTTTGGCAAGGCCTGCTTTCATTCAAGCACTTCCGTTGCTCAACATCCCATCGACCTAAATATTACATAAAACTGTATGCGAGTTAACAAAATTTATTCAACAAATATACAAGCAATAGCAGATTTCCTATTATCTTCTGTCTGGATGTATTTCGGCATGGTTCCCGCGCTCATCATGTTAACCCCACTAGGTTAACCAGTCACCAAACAAATAGTCGTTAGGAGCGACCTTAAAGCAATCCGTTAACCGTCCAAAAAGCTATACACAACAATACGCCCGAATTGGGGCTTTAAACTACGCCTGAACTGAGGCTGAAAATACGCCCGAAATGAGGCTTTAAAGTGAATGTCATTAAAGGCTAATTGACTGCTCGAAAATGTTTAAATGAGTAAACTTTAGCACTGAATATATGTGCCCCAAAGGGCTTTAAAACAAATCAATACTGCGCCCCAAAGGGTTTTAAACAAATCAATACAACTAAATGCACGTTTTAAATTTTTTGCCGTAAACATTAGCGCCTGATCCTGGGAATCAGCGACCAAGCCATATGTCTATGGTAAAACCATCACTTTAAATTACTTCATTAAAAGACCTAAGTATAATAAGTCATGTTCGGAGTTCGCTGTCTGCCAAATGGCAACGACGCTCCCAAAATTAGCTTTGGGACGCGACGCTTGCAGTTAATATTTTCAATCGTGGCTACGCCACTCGTGAAAATATTGCATCTGGTGTTCACTCAGTGAAATTATATTTCAATCTTACATGCAAAAGAAACAAAATTTTAATATCCTCTATGACTTGGGTACCTGGAAGTATTGAAAAATGTTTACTAGACAAATAACAGTCAATGAAGGCATATTGTGTTTTGTTTCTTAAAAATAACGAAGTGGACGGGTTGTAATTGAGTTTTAAATTCCTACAATAAAGTTAACATATTCTATATCGTTTTCAGGATAGTGTTCTATCATATGTGCAAAGCATGTGGAAAAAGGTTACATGGAATTATATTATAGATATTTTGGTTCACAAATTAAACAATTAGAAATCACTAAGCTAGCTGACAAGTTTGGCTTATTTAGTGCAATGAAGAAAACAGTATTTCCTGGCCTCTTACGCATTTAAGCGAAGTTAATTGATAAGAAACTTATCAACAGATAAAGGGACATCACACTATATTTAAACAGATAGTGGAAAAGTAAAATTGTCTATCTTGTTTAAATACAACAAGACCGTATAAAATTATTGCAGTTACACGTAAAGTATGAGTTTGATATAGAGTATGTTTAACAAGTTGCAATAAAAAGGTTCTGTTTCTACACTGGGATGATTAATGCTTCTGAACCAAATGTTTATAATTGGAAAGTCCAGTGTGGCAGCTGTAATTTTACCCCGTTCTTCACTTCAGTGTCGTTCCTTCAAGGTAATTGATTCCGACATTTTAGTGTTGCAAATTGGGAACCGCTCAAGCCGGTGCAAAGGGGCGTGAGGAAAACACCACTTTTTTCATTTTCTCTCATGTACAGAGGCGGTCAAACCGTGTCAGCCAGAGTGGTTATTTTTTTTTTCGCATCAAAACGACAAAACCGGTTTTAAATAGCCGATAAACATCGCTAAGACCGATATTATTTCGATTCTAACAAGATAAAATAAGGAAAATCATTAATTTTATTTTTTCAAGCGGTGATTACTTCCGATTTTCGTATAACGTTGTTCGATTTCGCACCCTACTGTTGCTAAGATATAGAAGTTATCAAACAAAAGAAATGATAGCAAAAAAAAAGTTATTTTATCAAATTTTCAACAATAAAATCTTACGTCTATAGTGTTTACATCAGTGCCCAATTAATCATTCTTGTATGTTTGAAATGACGTCATTATAACGCGTTTATGAATGAGTTATATACTTAAGGATGACGTCATTACGCTGCTTACGGATTGGCGCCGTTTTGTCAAAATATATATTTACTGATATGGATCAAATCTGTGCCGTTAGTGTATGTGTGATACTTCTTCATACTTTTTCATTATTGTATGAAAGAACTGAAAATATCAAGAAAATGCTTTTTTATTGTTGCTTTAAAAGGATTTGAAAACAATATAATGAGGGAGAAAACGTAACAGTCCTATATACAAGTAGTCCCTAACCAGTGTTTATGGGCAGTTGAACACCGGTTTTTTTCTTCTTTGTCTATAGTGACACAATCACGAGGAGTGTACGAATTGAATATTATCTTTAGATAAGTTTAAACTTCCGGGTTATACCATCCAGATTTAAACACACCAGTAACTTTAAATATTATCTGATTCAACAGATAACTTCTGATCTGCAAGGCTAAATTATCTATATTTATGACAATGATCAAGAAGGAAAAGTTACATTCAAGATATGAAGTCCCGATATTAATTCAGCCTATATACTTACAAAAAGTCATGATTAAAATAACATTTGTAGAAAATTGATGATGCATTCCAAATATCTAAGCTCAGGGATTTTTAGGTCAACTGAATATTAATGATATCAAAATGCAGCTTTAAATTGTCACAGAATAACATCTTAAAACGTAATCCCTACAAAAGATAAATTTTGATTCCGTGTACTTTCAAATTTATATTTCATAAATTTAAATAAAATATATTTGACCTGTACAACATCATATTAAGTGGGTATATTTAAATAACAAGGGGTTTAAATTATAGTATGTTTTTATTTAATTCTGTTATTATGGTAATGAAACAAATGTACGAAAATAACTCAATAAAAGGGGTATAGGCGCATCAAATATGACATAACAAGATCAACCAGGAAAGGCGGCGTTCAATGCACGCACCCTGCATGACCCAGCTTCAAGGACCAACGGCAAGGAGACAAGGAGGACGTGACAATAAATCTGTTTATCACAAATTTTGCAATGCACCCCATTAAAGTACCCTTGTTACTTTATCTATCAAGAGAAGTACTTATTATCGTTATTTGTAAAAGTAATTATCTAACAGATAAAAGATTTGATTAGGTAAAGTAATTGAGCGCAACATTATCACATACAAGTAGTGGATTCTAGATGTGTGATGACGCCTACCTAATTCGTAAGTAAAGTCGTTTATAAATTTCTATTATATACAGTGGTTTTATAATGTGTCTGGTCCCTCGGGATCATTGATTCTGGAACTTTTAATAGATGAAAAGTGAGTACCACTCAAATCGGTGCTGGGGGGCGTGAGGAATGTTTCATTTTTTTTCATTATAACTGTACGGACTCAATCAAACCGAATCTGCAGCTTTTTGATATTTTGTTGCGATATTCTCACCCTTTTTCAGATTTTATACTTCACAATTTTATACTTCACAACAGCAGATGTCAAGTGTAGTTGGCAGCTGAAAAATGTGGTCCGAATTTCACTTGAATTTATTTTCTAAGTTGTAACATTTAATTGATCAAAGTACGCACCTAGTGCCTGTTTAAAGTACCAGATACATTCCAAATACCACACTTAAATCATTCCCTTTTCATAAAGAATAGTGTGGATGAGCCGTATACTACGATTTTGATATTGTTGATGATTAATACAGATCACGACCAATCGGAATTTGTTAATTACAAACTGCTTTATTACATGGCAATAAGGAACTACATCAAGGTCCGAAAAACCCGGACGACAGTAAGAACGCGTCTCGTTAACTTAAGTTGCGTTCATTGAAGTGTTTAGAATTGAGTACCGCTCCAGTCGGTGCAAGGGGACGTGATGGATGTTGCACTTAATTATTATTCCTCATGTACAGACTCAATCAAACCGAGTCAATTTTCATGTAATTTTGTTGTGATTAAAACTTCCGAGGGACCACTCTGTTTCAAGATTTTTTCCTTGTTGATCTTGTTATCATATTTTACCCTTGTAAATGAATAGCTATGATATAATAATTTATAAAATAAAAATTTAAGATTCAGTTTATGCAAAATCTGCACAAAATCATCCATTCATCCATCCATCCAAGCATCCCCGTATACATCTCTCCCCGTATCCCCCCACCCATAATTAAAAACTTGTTTAAGAATATTAAAGTAAACATGATCTAAAGATGTCTTTTTACACAAACCATGTTCTAAAATATTGCATCATGATATCAAATTGAAAAAAACGAACTTAGATTGTTTAGTTTATCTGTATCTTCAGATGCTAGCAGTTTCCCTTCTAATATTTTATTTTTAATTAGTTTCGCGCATTGTTTTCTCGTTTAGGGTACATTTATTTTTTTTATCTGAGGTCAAAATTACGTTTTTCACGGAATGACGAGTTTCCATGATTACCGCAATATGGACACATCTGCGGATATTTCAAATTTCAAAATTTTACCAGATCATGTTAACTGTTGAATTCTGCATAAGCCGATGTTAGGCGACATGGACGGTAGCTTGCGATAACCGTTACTGTCCACGAAAAAGAATCAAACAGAGCCTGCATTTTCACATTTTCAGTTTTGCCATGTTAACCTTTCGTTACAGATTATGTTTTTCTCTATTTTATCTCAGTATATTTTTCTATTATTTTCAAATTCTGGATATGCAAGAGATAATGAAATTCATCGCCGATACCGCTACAAATATTGCATTTACGGTCGTGAGCAGATATATTCTGCAAACTTCTTATTTCATTTAGACTTCTTATTTCGATTAGACGGTGTTGATTTCTTGTCAAAAGAAATATTTATTCCTAGATGTTATATTATAAGTAACGTTTATCTTACATGCAAAGGTAACATTTAGTTCATGCCGACAGTTTTGTGCGTAATTACCTTTAATGAATTTTGATATACTACTGCTAAAACTTTCTATGTACCAAAATCCCACAAATACACAGTTTCACATAAATATTGTTTAATATTCTCTTTCTAAAATGATTTAGCTATATTTTACTTAAGAAAATATATACATTTAATGACAATTTTGTAGGTTCATCACTTTGGATATTTTCAGTATGTCTTGCCCAAAACACAATTTCTCTGTGTTAAATATGCGCACTCAGTGGTGGAACAACTGTTTCCGCATATATCATATTAGACGGGATAGACTTGTTTAGGTTTGAAAAAATTCAATTGAATTATCTAAACACCATCAATTCAAACTCCCCAGAATGCACCTCCTTACACTATTTTTTTGTATTTTGGTTTTATATGCAACATTAGTTATTGAGGGATTCTGTTCATTTTCAATTTTATATTCCTTATTGTCTTGCTTTCTGGAATTATTACTTTACAAAAACAATATTAAGTTGGCATTAGGCCGTTCAAAGGTAAAAAGTGAGTGAACAGGTACAAGTCAAAATTAGTTTACAATTTGAAATTATTATTTTTATTTTTATAATTTACTTTGCATGAACGATAAATAACTCACGAGGCCCAAGGAAATTCTGTATCTAAAGGTAAAGTTTAGAAATAGACTGGTACCGTCTTTTTATTGTAGGCATATTTATATTTTATTCTAAGCAATATACAGTAATAACTGTTGGTCAATCACCATTATAACAGTTAATCTTTTGAAATATATAGTCAGTTAAGCCCAACTTGACAATGAAAAAATGGGTATAATGTCATTTTCACTTGTTCCAAATATATAAGTTTCAAAGAGTTAATTTTATATATTATTTATTTGAAAAACATATCACACGATCCTGTTCTATCCAATGATTTAGATGAAAATATTATTAATTAAGTAAGATTTTTACTTGTGCATTGTTGCAAAAGCGTTAAAAGACTCAACTACTACCTAGTCCAATATGAGTACTAGTCCGAAAGCATTCAGTATAGTATCTAAAAAAAGGTTACTTGTGTAATTACATGATATACAATGTCATTTTTTCAAACATATATATATATCTTAACTTGATTGCGAAACAAGTTCATGCAACTTTTATCAATCAATTTTGAGTCCGCTTCCAGGAATCAACCAGTACTAGTGTCATGTTAACAGTGACCTGAGATGTGCTTGAAACAATGATTAAGAAATTGAGAATTTTTAGCCAATAGGCCAACGCCAAATGATAATAAAAGCAAACCTGACAAGAACAGAAAAACAATGATCTTATGCATTAAAATTGTAAGTAAAGTATAAATCAAATATCTAAGGTGCCACCAATGTTTTAATTTTATTTTTCATTCCACAGGTCATTTCTTTAGCAGCAGACATACTTAATGATGATGTTTGTTTTCATGTTTACACTTGTGTTACTCTGTCAGGGAATATTGACACAAAATACAAGTAAGTCAGTCTCAATTTAATAAATATGATCATTATTTACTTTATTTTAAAGATATCGAAATTTCGAGTAATACATACAGCTTAATATGAATACAAAGGCATACAGGAATAGTTATGTCAGCGACCTCAATAAGTTAAATAGGAAACGCTATCAACTATCAACAGTTTTCTATCATGTCACAATACAAAATACTTTTAGTATATAAGGTCATTTGTTTTATTTGGATCATCTCCCATAATCGATTTATAATTATTTAAAGACAATATATTTCGGTATTTAAACAATATAAGATTAGGATGCTGCCGTCTGTATTGATTTTCTTCTATGAAAAGGGCAGGAAGACGATCTCATTCAAAGAATAAAGGGTCAAGTGTCAGTAACGATGTCGAGTACCAGCAATTATAATGTTCCGGAAACATCCTGGGATAGTTACAATGCTGTAGACAATATCTATCTTGGAGACCCAAACACATGCAGGTGTTGTGCTTCGACATTAGGCACTGAATCACCATGGCTACAATTAGATTTGGGCGGAATATATAGAGCCAGTGTCATTAGGATATTTGGACGAACAGATGGAAGTATGACGTTCATATGATAGTATCATAAATAAAAAAAATATATTAGTGCAGGTTTAATACTAAATATATTGAACGCGTTGAATCAAATAACATTCCAGGTTCTCTTTTTTTAATCATTCCATGGTGGCGGCCAGACTAATATATTAATGTTTTCTCGGAACGCGGGTTCAAAATCCGTCAGAGTTAATGGGGCGCTTTCTTGTGCAAGAAATTTAACACACATATTGCCCAGTATAAGCTATTTTCTGGAACGGATTCAAAAGCAAACAAAAATAAGATAGTTCTTGTTTATTCTATAACAAAAATAATAAAGAAAGAACTTAACTTTTAAATGTATGGTTCGTTCATTTTTATAAACACTTTCAAATTGTAGGCTCATATCTTTCACTAAATTCATTTTCTTATGTATATGGCTAGGAAGTAATAATATGTGTTATTGTAATGAATAACGTCTGAAACGGACTGAACAATTTAGATATTTGTTCAGATATATTTTTGAATGAATTCGTGCATATTTTCAAAATATTAAACAATTTGTCAACCGGTTATTTCCGTATATTGAAGAGTATTTGTTTTTGCTATTCTTATGTTAACGAGGCAAAAAGTCGACTATCTAGTTTTTTAGCCATAGTGTATATTTGTAATTCTGTTCCAACTTAACGTTGCTTTTTGCCAGATTTCAGGTTTTTCTATCTTTAAAAAATATTATGGTACAAATTTTACATACACGATATCGAGTTTAAGCGTTCATCTAAGCAGCCATTTTAAATGACACATTCAATTGTCAAAAATAAAATACTTCCTTTATCGCATTCAATATATACGTTATGTTAAAACGAACAAAACATGCACACACAAAAACGATACCACTTTCACTACAGAAACCTCTAGCAACATTAAAGGAAAATAATCTTAAAAGTTCCGTCTACTTGTTAAGCTTTTTATAAACACAAGACTTTCTTTTCTTTATTATGTAAGTGATATGATTCCGTGTGATTTGAAATTATTCATTATTGTTAAAGGCAGCGATTCGCAGTACCAGAACATTTCCGTATTTGTCAGTAATACGACAATAACAGCGATAAGTGGAACATTACTATATAAAGGCGGTCCAAATGTTGGCAGTTACACATTTGTACTACAACCCCAAACTACATACCTGTTTAGATATTTGATGATACGACGTCCAAGTGTAAGTGTGTTGACAATATGCGAGATTCATATTGTTCAAGCTAGTAAGTACATAAAGTTTACATTATGCAGTTTCCATGTAAAATGTTGGCATTTGTAATTGGCGAAACATGTTATAATACTTTAAAAAAATCTGTACTATGATTTTGTTTTATGTTTCTGATGATAATTTCTTCAAAGCGTGTCCTTGTTTTTAAACGTCATGTGTACTTTAAAACTTAAAAGAATAGAATAGAACGTGTCCTAACAAAACATCAAAGTGTTATTTTTTGTAAGTCACGATAGCATTATGAATTCGCCTCTTCCTTTATTGAACATTTACGTATTTCGGTTAAACTCACGATAAAAGCAGGTCTTTGTCGTTTACAAACATCTTTAACATAACTGTTAACGTAGTGAAGTGCTTCAAATGTTTATATGTAATTTATACATTATGTGAAAATCAAACTTAATTTCACATAAACTTTACAAGCCAAACTATTTTTAATGATTATGTTGGTATACCTATGATCTTCAAAATAAAAAAAAAACAACTCCCAACAAATTCGATTTGAATTACCTATAGCAATAAAGCTGCTTAACCTTCTACGAAACACTGCAATTACAAGCCAATCCAGCAATTTTATGGGTAACCCTTCACACAATGCGATTGATGGACGAGATAACTATGACATAAACCATTGTCAGTGCTGTAGTGTAACAATGGCAACGCCTTCCCCATCGTGGTGGCAAGTAGATCTCAGAGAAAAATACAAGATTTACACTGTGGAAATATATGGGAGAAGCGATTTAGGTATACAATATTTCCTATTAATATCAAATATGTATTTTTTTAAAATTGTTAATAAGGTTTTCTGAAAAAGAAATACAACGCTTCAGTTTAGTGAATGTTGCAGAGCGGCCGAAACAATTGCTTTTTCCCGGAACTCCTCAAAGTTATCAACAGCTTTCAAAGGAGAATTTTAACGAAGTTTTGTGAGGTTTTGTGATTTCTAAATACAAAGTCCTTTGTTTTATTTCTACACATAGAATGTCCTATTTTTGCACTTCTACACTTCAACCAATCTTATACATATTTAAATCTTTTTAGGGCAATGCCGTAAGAAGGCTTAACTGAACATGATCTTAATTGACCTTGATATTCAAAATCATGCTTTTCAAATGTAATATAATTTGTCAGAACTACATTTTGAGGGCTTTTAATTACAAACGAAACACTTTGATAAAGGATGTTACTATTTATTTTTCACTGTCTATATCAAATTATAGAAGGGAACTATATACTTTATTTATTTAAATAACATTTTTGATCTATATTAATTAAATATTGCAGGTAGCAACGAGCAATTAGAAGGTGCTGAGGTGTATGCCTGTAATACATCAGATTGTTTATACAGTCATGGACAATTGTTGTTCACATTACCGAATATCATACACTCGACGCATTTTATCCATCATCTAGATAAACCAGTTATTGCGCAGAGTTTCAGAATTTATCTTTATCGTAATATTCTCACACTTTGTGAATTTATCCTTTACTCTGAAGGTAATTTGAAGATACTACTACCTTCAATTGTCAAAATAAATGTTTTATTCTTTAATCTAATGTAAATAATTTTTATATATACATACATGTTATGCCTGATATTATTTCACTAGAACCATACCTACTTTACCAATAGTTTCTTATGAACAAAGTGTGTATAATGATATTTAAAAATATCATTAAATGGAAAAAGTTTAAATTTTGTTTTGCTTTACAATACGTAAGTTATTTCCAAATGTTACATATTATACACCAGTACATCCGGCATTTTGCCTCATTGTTGACATGACACCAACCTGCAACAAATGGAACAAGCTCTGCACCAATAATGGCAAAATGCACCTGATAGGTAATTTGAGGAGAAGAGTTGAGGCAACCATCCAATCACTTGGCGGATACACTAATTATTTAAAAAAATGGCTTCAAAATGTCATTTTAGGTCCTGCAATCGTCAATATTTACCAGTAAATGTTTTGTAAACGCTCCAACAACTTAAAACCACTTTAAATTGTGGTAAAGACTAACCATCTGCAATTTTTTTCAACTTAACTCATTAATCGACAAATTAATGAATACTTTCTATTATAGATATATAATTAGATATAATATTAAGCTGTCAATCGTTGTATTCCAGATAAACTTTGTAATATTGGATGGTTTGGAGAATCTTGTTCCCAAAGATGTCATTGTGCAGACATTAAGGGATGTCATGGAAGCTCTGGACAATGTCAGACACCTTTATGTTTACCCGGGTGGACTGGGTCTGCTTGCAATGAAGGTGAAGTACAGCATTTAGAAACATAGTCAACTATTAATAAGACAGCTGTTTAATTGTAATTGTTATAAATCATAAACAAGAGTAGAGATCAACATGGGAAAGTAATGCTAAATTCAGAAGGCACTACTTCGGTCGCCGAAAAGAAAATTCAAGTATTTGTTGTGATTCAAACAATTTGTTCATTTGGCAGTAGTTTTGTTTCATTGTAGGGGCAATAATTCGGAAAACACGGAAAGGTAATAAAAGCAGACTTTTTCGTAGATTGACACTAAAATGTCATGTTGAAGATTCTATGATGACAGTCTTTTGAACACATCTGCTGATGGTTGTGCCATTACCACTACCTTCCATGAACAGACTAATCAAACTATGAATGCAAAATTAAAAATTTTGCCGTACCGCGTTTTCTTATGGGATTCTCTTTATTTCTATTTCCAACATGGCAAAACCGAAAGGTTGCAGACTCAGCTAAACCGAGCCTGCACCATTTATTTCTACTTTGTCGTCTTGGATTTTCTTTGGGATTCTGTTTTCCTCTTTTTAGATTTAAGAGCTATTTAATACATAAAAAAAACAATCCTTATTTTATCTTTAGAAGAATATTTATTTCAACCAGTGTTTAAGAATAATGGTCTACGGATGTTACTACATTCAACATTTCACAATTACAAAGTTTATATGTTGTATTCTGCTTAAGTCGGTGCTAGTAAACATGGGCAGTATCTTGTACCTTTCAGTACGGTCTACGAACACGCTCTTCAACATTTTCAATATTGCCGTTTTTAGTTTTCTTTATTGATTATTCTTTATTAAATCTATAGTGTTAAGACCATGGTATATAATGAGCACTTCTGTCACTTCTGTTAGTAATTAAGTAACAATAAACAGACGGTCAACAAACGATCTTATTTAAAATGCTTGATATTCATATTTGTTTTTGTTAAGAGTGTCCTCATGGAACATTTGGTCAAAAATGTAAAAAAGAATGTCACTGTGCCAACAATTTACCATGTGATAAAAGCAATGGTATGTGCAGCACCGGAAGCTGTGATTTAGGTTGGATGGGCGATTCCTGCAGTCAAGGTAATTGGTCAATATTTATTCAAAAATTGTTTTTGTTTTTAATGTAATCATTTTGGCTTCACTTATAATCCAGTCATTTGCTTAGAACATGTATGCTTTGGACTTCTCATGTCAGTTGTTGAAAGTTAACATACTTTGTAATTTCATTTCATTGAATGTTTGATAGATTGTAAAGATGAGTTTTATAACGAAGAAAATCAGAATACGCTTTTATCTTTTCTTTATGTCAATCTCGTAGCTGTAAACCAATAAACACCCAAAATTTTAATTTTCTCCTACACGTCTCTTTAAGTCGTGTTTGAATTAAAAGTTTTTATATGTTGACATGCTTACATATGTTGGACTAATGCTCATATAAAAGCTATATTATAATAACACGCATACTTTTTAAAATTTAAATTGCAAAAAGTCTCAAACATCTTTTGACACTTTTAATCATTTTACGATCAAATGTGTGAAAGAAATTAAAGACGTATATCTTTTATGGAAAAAGACTTATTGCTGATTCTCTTCTGAATATCAATTAAAATGTACTTTTTATCCATTCAACTTCCGCTTATAAAGAACAAATATGGTACAGCAGTATATTCGTTGTAAATATTGCTCGTTTTTAGAGTGTCCATACAGAACATTTGGTGATGAATGTAAAAAGGAATGCCACTGTGACAATAATACGTCTTGTAATAAAAGAAACGGTGACTGTCTTGTAGGAAACTGTGAGCCCGGTTGGTACGGCAGCTCATGTAGTCAAGGTATCTATGCTTAATAACTAGTTGATTTTATTATACTGTTGCAAAAATTCTCTTTTGTGAAAATCTTTGTTTATTCAATCTTTTCGCTTAAAAGTAAACCATTTTTATGCTGGTATAATTAATAAACATATGGAAACAAAATGATCCTTCGGAAGCATTAATCACAACAAAATTACAAGAGAATTGCAGACTCGGTTAAGTCATATGTTAGTGAAAGCAGGATTATATTTATTGCAGTAAACCAAAATAATGCATCATTTTATTTTCTATCAACAGTCAAAACCAAAGTAAAATTCTTAACATCTTCAACAAATACATTTCTTCAAGTTACTATCAAAAACTAACTCCAAAAACTAACCAACTTCCCAACTCCAACTCAAATAGAAAAGTTCCCAGCTTATACACCCTTCTGTTTGCCCAGCTAGGGTGGTGTGCAAATGTAGACTATCATATTTACTTCATAACTGTCCATGTCACCAACAACACAAATATCACTCAAAGTTGTTATTCCAGAGATGCAATGTAATGTTATTTATGCAAGTTGACACACTAGTAAGTGTTGGTAAACGATTAATCATTAGACTAGATAGAGTACTAGTTATTGCAGATGTTGCACAAGCTATTGTACTGTTTGAATCTGAGGAACAGTACTGGTAGTATCACTTTTGCATTCACATAAGGTAGTAATAAGGTAAAGCAATGACTGATTAAAGCGTTCCACCATACCATTAGAAGATGCTCTGTATGGTGTACATCTTGTTTGATTTATTTCCAATAAACAACACATTTGTCTAAATAATTCAGACTGAAAATTCTTTCCTTGATCTGAATGTAAGTCCAGCGGTAATCCAAATCTACATAAATACTCGAACACTAACTTATTTGCAACTGCTTCAGCACGTTGGTCTGGAATAGCGTAACATTCAACATATATAGTAAAATTGTCCATAACCGCTAACTTGTACCTGTTTTTACTCTTGAAATGGGAAACGGATCCAAAATATCTGTTGAGAATCTGTCCATAGGAAACACAACATGATACTCCTGTAATGGTGCCTAAGCTTTCTTATTTGGTTTCTTTCTGGCTCCACAGAAAGCAAACTGTTTAATCCATAGTTTCACAGAAGATGACATTTCAAACCAGTAAAAGTTCATTTTTATTTTTGCCAGTGTTTTCCTGACCCCTAAATGTCCAGATAGAATAGCATTATGTGAAACTTTAATAACTTGATTACGTAAAAGTGATGGTAACAGTGATAGTACATGTATACGAACCTACCCAATTTGAGAACTTATATATCTTTTCAGAAGAAATGTCACCATTTGGGTACAGACCCCCTGCATGTGATGCCTGTGCCATATCTTTTTTGGTGGCATCAATCAAATCAATATTATCATCAGCACCAGACTTAAGCGCACGTTTCTCCTCCATTCCAAGTCTTATCACAGAAACAAATTTCTCACAACCACGAAATTTCTGATCAAATTGCCTGACAAACGCTCCAAGATACAATGCAAAAACAAACAAAAAATTCAGCACTGATGCAGAACAGTCCCTAACTAAGTCGGCAGGAACACCATTTCCTTTGTCTCGCTTGATTTTCTTAGACACCAGTGGAACCACATCATCAAGATCTGTAAGTGCCAACTACTGTTCCTGCTTTTTTCACACACATTCTTTACAGCCTCAACACGGAGGCTCACTTTAAACTCACTTAGAAGTGAGTGACCACTATTACAAGCACACGAACAAGGGTCAGGATTTGCATGCTTAGATCCCTTGCGATGCCATCTGTTTTTCTGGTTCTTTGAAGGACATAATCCATCTTAATTAGGAATGATCACTTCTAACTAAAAACGAACTTCCTAACAAATACTGTTTAAACATAGTAACAAATCAACTGCAAACAGTTCACGTCGTGTTACACAATAGCGTCTTTGCGCCTTATTCAATTTTTTGCTCGCATATCATATTGGATTTTCGATACACATTTGCTTGCCTTCAGTTTCATTCCACACTAATACAAACTTGTGGGGGTTGCGTTCATTGAGCGCCGCCTTTCCTTGTTGATCTTGTTTATCATATTGTTAACTGTTTTAAGAATATCCAAATGTTCTTCAAATGTCTGACCAAAAATAATCAAATCGTAAAGGTATATCAGCAAAATGTCCTACTGAAGACCTCTAATTACTAATTCCATACATCGTTGGATGTTGACGGTGCAAAACATAATTCAAATGGCATAACCAAATATTCAAATCAACAAAATTTGGTAGTGAAGGCTGTCTTTGGACGATCAGCCTCATCAAATTCAATCTGATAATAGGCTGACAAAATATCCCTATAGCCAGAGCCATCTGGTAGCCACTAACACCTCTAATAACATACCGTAAACAAAGTATACCAATAGTGTTCTCATCTGCAGTGGGGAAGCCCTTTCGAACCAGACACTTTATATCTGCAACATACTCCACGAGTGTTTCCCTTGAGCGAAGCTTAACATTTTCGAGCTCCATCAGATAAGAGGCAGTAGCTCGTCTTTACAAATCTTGCTGCTAGACATTGCTCAAGCTGTTTGTAAGATTGTAGAGTTTCAGGACTGACCTGGTTGAAAACAAACTCTGCTGCATCATCCCTCTGACTAATGAGCAAGCGAAATGCTCTCTCTTTATCACTCCATTGGCATGTCTCAGCCAATACAGCAAATTGACATATGAATGCGGTGTATGATGTTTTACCATCAAAAGTAACCTGCTTTTGTAGTGGAATATTATAATCCTGAGAATGTCTAGGTTACTTTCTCGTAATACAATGTTCTGAAGGCGATAAAGTTCAATATCTTTTGATTGTAAAATACTTTGTAATTCATTAATTCCTTTGACAATCTCTGGCTTTGTCTTTCTCTATTCATCTGTGTTGTCTTATATAGACTGTTCATATTTTCTTTATCTCTCCGAAATTGTTCATTTTCACTTTCAATAATTTCTTGTGATCCAGCTTTTTCAGTTTATAAAATTCTAACAGATTCATTTAATTTCTCAATATTTGCCAATGCATCAGTTAAATTAGCTTGTAAATCCTCATTTTCATCAATTTTTCTGAAATGTTGTTGACGTTAATCCATTGTAAGTTCTGAATTTTCAAGACGCAATGCTGATCCAGATCTAGCAGATTTCTAAGGTCTCATATTTCTGACTTTCTTTTAAAACATAAGTGTCATCGTCTAACAAAGAAGCACGTCATTTTGCTTTATATGATTTTAATTAATTGATGTCATTATTTTTCATTTTTAAATTTTATTCACTTTGTAACAAAAATCACTAAATGCACTTGTAAGATTATCACTATGAAAAACTAGTTCTTTGGAGATATTTCCTATTTCTAAACAGCACAAAGAAACAGTTTGACGCAATGATTCTTATTCCTTTTCCATCTTTTTGTGAGTCCATTAAACTCAAAAGTAGAAAAATTCAAAGTCGTTATCCTGAAGCTGAAGCATGAAAAAATCTTTATCCCGCCGCTGAAGCATGTAAAAATCTTTATTCCGACGCTGCCACCTGTGTTGCAAAAATTCTCTTTTGTGAAAATGTTTGTTTATTCACTCTTTCGCTTAAAAGTAAACCAATTTTTATGCTGGTATATTGAATAAGTCAAGTCCAAGTGAAAGCAAGAGTATTTCTATTGCAGTAAACTAAAATAATGCATCATTTTATTTCAATCAACAGTCAAAACCAAATTAAAATACTTTACAACTTCAACAAATACATTTCTTCAATTTACTTTCAAAATCTAACTCCAAAACTAATCACTGCAACTTACCAACTGCAACTCTAATAGAAAAGTTCCCAGCTTAAATACCTTTCTGTTTGCCAAGCTATGGTGGTGTGCAAAATAGACTGTCGCGCGACCAAACTTGCGCTAACCAGTTTAGCACATAACTCATTGCTCGATCTGAATGTTGCATGACCTTTTAAAAGTGCTTACAATACCTTAACAAATTTCAAAATGACCTGCAACTGGTTCAGGTATACAGACTTTTTTACAATACAAACATAAGTACAAAAATACATAATAGTTATTTAAATTTACATGTTATAACTGCTATATGTTCAATAATGCAATTTAATAGTGTAAAATATACTTTCGTTAATAAAGATATATGTACTATATATGGCTTATAAAACCAATTCACTTAATACTGATTGACAATTCTATAAACTTATAATACTGACTGAACAGACAACTGAAATATAATATCTCCAGCTTAACAACATATAGCTCAACATTCGAACCAAGTACCCTGTATATATACTGCAGTAAGGAATCTCATTCATAAAATCTGATTTGACCAAATTATACAACAATTGAGATGCTGAAGAGCTAAAATAACTTAAACCTTGTTCTTTGAGTCTCCGCGACCTCTTATTGCGCGACCTCTCCATATTTGGAACTAGCATGCCTGGGCAAGCTGATTCTGCGCGACCTTTACTATTGCGCAACCTTAAGACCTTCGGCTGTGCGACCTTACCAAATTTGGAATGAGGTATGCTCATAATCTAGAAATAACTGAGCTGTGCCAATGTCTTGGACTGTTAATGACTCAATTGTTTTACAACAAAATGAGTAAAAGATAATATTAGCATCTACACCAGCTTAGAAATATGCCATCCTAAAAGAATACTTCTAGTAATAGTCCAGTCAATTTGTAACAAAATATGCTATAATACTTCAGAAAATGGAAAAAGCATGAAACTTGGCACAGATATTAATAAAGGCAAAAGAAACATTTTGGGCATGGGACCCATTTCATATATTCCAAGAGGGTTGCTATGGCAGCCATTTTTTAAAATGGCCGCCATTACATGGAAGTATCATCATTCTTTTCCAGAAGAGGCTATTTATAGTTACAATTATACTGGAAATTACCCCAGTTTACACTAAACATAAGAGATTTGCATTACTTATAATCAAAGATACAAGTTACAATTATAATGCTATCAATTGTTTCTGTTTCTATGGTTACAAGTTACTGAAATAACAAAACAGTCTATTTCAGTACTCTGAAATATTTTTTGATTATTTTCTCATATTCATTTCATTTGTTGTAATCCTAAGTAGACAATCGTGTCAAATAACTATGAAGTATAATGTCTTAAAATTCTTGAATGTGTAGAATGTGAGCAATTTACTATATAAGTAGTATTCAAATTTTAATGTCTGAATTTACATAATTTACAAACAGAATAGGATGTCTTAACATATTCCATTCCTGTAAATGCAAGGAAAGCTGGAAGTATTTATATTTCCTTCAGCTTAATCAACAATATTTTGCAAGCACCAAATATTACCTAAATTCCATGTTCAACAAATCTTATGATACTATGAAAATGAAAGAACAAAAGCGTACATGTATGTACCCAAGGTACTATATAGTGCCTGAAAGGGTGGATTGGCCCTCATTAGGCATATAATACACAAACGGTCCTTTAGGCATTGAACTCTCAGATCTATTAAATGTAACAACACTTTCATGTTGGATTATTTATAATTAAACTTTGTCATTAATTTGCCTGCGTATTCTTTAAAGTATTTTTTTTTATTTCATTTACATTCAATATTAATTCTTAGTTACGAGGACATTTAAAGAGTGTGTAGTTTTGCGCTTTGCAAGCTTTATGCATATTGAAATTCTATGGGTGATGCTGAGTGTTCTATTTCATGTATTATAATGATATCAAGTATCTCTCTAGTTGACGGAAGTCTATCTGAGGTAAGACTTTATCTGAAGTTTATGTTAAACATAGTCCTGAAAGAATTGACAGCCTTGATAACAATAACAACCGTGACTTAACATCCCAGCAGGCACTCGACCTTGTTTCAACGTTAAAACAACGTTGAAATATGGTCGTGACGTTGTTCAACCAATATTCAACTATGGACGACCATACGGATATATTGCCAATGTATATACAACGTTGATTCAACGTTGTTTATGGTCTAAGTTTTACATTTAGTTTAATCATTATAAAAACTTTTATACAACTAATTTTGTGTAATTATTCCTTTATTGAATTAGTCTGTAAGTGATTTTGTCAGGAAAATTTGCGTAACAATCTTTTTCCGTATATTCAAAAGTAGCACTTAAACAAATAAAGTTTAAAATAATTTTTCACTTTCTATTAACGCTTTAAATATTAGTTAATATGTTTTGTTGTTTGTTGTTTTATTTTTTAGTACTTTATGAATAATATTAATTAATAAATTGATATTAGTCAAAACCCCGCTTATAAAATAACGCTGGTCAGGGGGAGTAATTGTTGAATGTCTATGATTATCGTTCGTGCAAATGGTGGCGCTGTTTGGAAGATTTGAAAACAACACGATTGGCAATTTATTTGGATTTGAAGGTACATGTATTACCGTAATGTTTTACTTTAGTTTACTAATTATTTTCTAAAATATTATTATTTATTCTTAAAGTTCTACTTTAATTTACTTTATGAAATAAATGAGAGATGAAAACACATGATTGAGTTGATTTGACACGTTTTTGCGACCTAATTGAATGATTTGGGTTCGGTAGGCTTTGTAAGCATGAAGTTATTGATGTCCTTGGCAATTTATGATTCTACAAATCTTGTCTTTCTTTAATTTATTTTTCATATTATTAAACATTTGTCTGTACTATATCCTAATTAGAATTTAATCAATTATAAAATTGAAACCTATAAAGTAGTTCGGCCCACATAATTTACGTCCAAAGACGATTCGTCAATATATATAACTATGTTTATATTTTAGTGATAGTATAATACAGTGTTAATTAGCTTGAAAAAAAATATTATTAAGTTAAATAACAAATTTGAGTGTTAAACTTTAAAGTTCAATAGTCGTAAATTTATGGAGAATAATAAATATATTTCTATTTTATTATATATTATTTTATATTCTAGATCCTGGTCCTGGCTGAAATTTAGAGTATTGCAGCTGTAGCCTGTATACCATACATTCAACATGAAAAGGACTGTCAGGTTTGTTAAATTGAAATTTATTCTTATTAATTTATATCTTTGAATTTCTTTACAATACAAAGCATAAATTTTTCAACTACTGGATATTTATCTTGTCTTAAAATATATTATTTTCGGAATATTCCTGTAACATTATTAAGATAAAATTTACATGTTTGTTGATTTCAGGATGCTGCATAAAATGGTCTTAGCTAGAGCCTAGAATGTTAATTTCTTGGGAATATGCTACAAGGAACTGACGGGAGCAGTTTTTCTTACCAATCATAGGTGAGACTTTTAAATAGCTTCTTTTAAAAAAGATTTTGTTGTCTTATATACAGTATTTGCTGTGAATATGAAACTTAGCTATGTTTCAATTTCTATGCTGTTTTATGATGTAAATCTAAGAGAAAAGCATTTTAAGATAAAAACAAATCACTAAGTTGAGTAATTATATGTATAATAGTCACTTTTAACTACAAACGTCTTATTTTTATTTGCAGAAGCAGTAAGAGACAGCCAAAGAAGTACTCAAACACTTGACAAACCCAGAAAGATCTAGAAGAAAAGATTGGAACAGATTGTAGCTTAATTGTTAAAACTATTAAAGTGAATTTAAACTGCACTTGAACTGTATTGTTGAAATAAAATATCTGAAGTATTTAATATTGTCTTGATATTTTGTTAAACTTGGTTACTTTGCTTTATATCCAAAAGTTAAAGAATGGTGGGTTTTCAACGTTGAAATGACATTTAAACTTCAACGTTGTGACAACGTTGAAGCTGCAACGTTGTATCAACGTTGAAATTTCAACGTTGTTTCAACTTTCAAATCCGAATATAAATCCAACCTTATTTCAACGTTGAAATCTGACCATAATTCAACGTTGAAACAACGTTGATGTGACTGCTGGGATGCTTTATCAATCACAGGAATCTCAAAATATGAAAACAACAGAGACCAACGTTCGTGGGATGCAGTCCTGGAAATGTTAAGTCATATAAATTTGTTAATCAGGTTTCAACAAAAAGCGGTGATTGTTATGCCGAAGTCGGCAGAAGGGCAGGTGAGCGGACGTTAACTTTTGGTTTCCGCTCAACATGAGTTTGCTATTCCCTATAGAAACCAAACTTTGTGTGTGCGGATATTTTATATCAAGAGGCAACTTGGGATTGCTCCTCAGGTGTTTGTGATCTAGGTCACTGCTGCTAAAAATAGAAACTCAGTTTTCGCTCAATAGTTCGAGTTTGCTTTGGCCTATTGACAACAAACTTGGTATATGGGTAGCTTTATCAAGAGGCTTCTTGGGGTTGCTACCATGGTGTGTGATAAGGGTCAAGGTCACTGTTGCAAAAAAATATAATTCCAGTTTCCGCTCAATCACTTGAGTTTGCTTCGGTCTATTGACATCAAATTTAGTATGTGGGAAGCTTAGATGCAACTTTGTATTGCTACCAAGGTGTGTGTGCCCAAGGTCAAGATCACTGTTGCTTAAAAAAGAAACTCAGTTTTCACGTAATAATTTGAGTTTGCTGTCACCTATTGACTCTAAATTTGCTGTGTGGGTAGCTTATATTAAGATGCAGTTTTGGATTGCTATTAAGATATCTGGGAGCAAGGTCAATGTCACTTTTTTGTTCTAGAACAAAATTACAAAACTGGGATTGGTAGCAAAGAGCCTTAGTTAAGATTATTCTCTTTATTTTTGTAAAGTTGCTCTTTGGGACAATTCTAACTGTAAACAAGATAACCATTATGTTTATCCTACTTGAGCTACGAAATTGTACTAAATCTCAACCATCATTCTCATTCTATTGAATTGTTCGTAATTACGTCACATATCATAAAAAGAATTGCACATGTCAGATCAAATCTGTCACAAAGGTACAAAACCTGCTTTTATAGCCTATTTTGGAATTTACGTTCTTGATCTTGATGATGAAAATCAATATCTTTTACTCTTGTCTTGATTAAGCATGTCAACGAAAATTTGGAATTTGTTGTCAAGTCTGGAAACTGCTGAGCTATAACAACAAAACCCAGCAAAAAATACTGACTGAGACTCTCAATAATAACCAATATCACATTTATATCAAAGTCTGTTCTCATTTGCTTGATCAAAAGCGGTCAGAATTAAAAGAGAAATATCCTAGGTATCTGATGTTTTATGGGCAGCAAGGCGTACTTATATTATTTTCAATGTCCCATTCGTTCTAAACCTTAGACTTGGTTACGTATCTTGAATCTTACAAACATTTAAGGCCCTCAGAAGAAAAAAAAAACAGTGCCAAAATATGGCAAATTATCTAGCACGTTTGTCAATTGTTTTCCTTGATCTGATTATAGCACGGAAATGCCGAGTCTTCGTATAAAGGGCTATTGTAATGTCTAAAACAATAACTTGTAAGAACATGTCTTTTTGGAATTTTGTTTAAAAATATGAGAAAACATGATTGTAAACGGAGGCCTAAAGTCATGAAACCCAGCAACTTAATATAATGTTTTGTGCCACAGGGCTCCCTTAGGGACACTAAAATGAAATTTGACATAAAATTAAGGCTGGAAGTGGCATTAAAGAAGGAAGAGGGGTTTTATGTCAATTTTGATACATCCCGAAGGTAAAGAAAGGTTGATGTTATTTACAATAATAAGTTAGTGTAACTTTTTACTAGATTAGTCTTTAAAGCTTGTGTCAAGTTAGCAGATAATCAATCGAAAACCAATGTGTAGTGTTTAAAAGCAGTTATTTCAACAAAGGTGTGTCAAAATCTGAGTCTGTAAACTGCAAATTTCTACAAAATTATCATTCCATTTTTATACAACAAATGGACAGTCATGTACTTATATATGAAGAAAAGTGATAGTTTAGAATGATTTTTTTTCTGTAACTCATACTTTGACCAGAGACAAAGATAAAATCTACATCTCTGCGTTGACAAAATGTACATTATATATGTCTTCCAGGTTTTTGTTTGTTTCTTTCACATATTCTAACAAATGTTCTTTTATATTTTATGATATGACAATTCAAATACCAAATGACTGTTAAAGTTAAGCACATGTTAGCTTATAATTTTGTTATTCACACTTTCTTTGCTTAATCCATTTCACAACGATCAACAAGATAAAATTGCAATGTGAACACCTGACTTGACGAGCAGATATTTAATTTCCGTTTGCTTGAGTTATGCTAGAATTTTTAAACACTTTTGTTTAATCTGTTTGATAAGTATTTCCTTGTGATAAATTTACATTGTAAACAATGAAAGTTGTAAGAAATAATGTCTTAATATCTTTAGAAGACAGCAATGACAGATCTCTACAATATCTTATTTCAACCGGTTTCCAGGGTCGTGAAAACTAATGACAAACAGAAATAATAGAATATGTTAAGTGTAATAGATTGAAAAAGACAAAGCAATTTTTAAATACTAATAACAACTATTTTCCTGATAACAATACCCTAATATGCAGCTATCTATCAAGTTCTCTTAGTTAAAACAAGCGTTTTTGAAATTTTTAACACGTATGGCGGCCATTTTAGATTTTTCCCGCGATATTGGATTTTAAAATATGGGTCCCATGCTCAATTTTTCTTATTTATATCAAAGTTCATTCGTACCAAGTTTGGTGCTTTTCCCATTTTCTGATGTATTTTTTTCACAAATTGACTGGACTATAAAGTATTAGTTTCAAATTTCATAACAATACTGTGCAAGAACTAGTTTACAATTGCAAACCGTACGTGAATATGTATAAATGTTCTGGTACAACGTTATTGATTTGATTTGTGCAAAACGAAACTACATATGGTTTACCGTAAAAGATATTGATTTATTGATCTTTATGTTCGGATGTCAAGTTATTTCAAGAAGTAAATGGTATGGGTAGGCTGTGCGTTTAAACACTTCCTTCTTCAAATTAATTTGTTTTACTAGAGTGTTCGTATGGGAGATTTGGTTCAAATTGTGAAAACGAATGCCATTGTTCCAACCGCACATCATGTAACAGTACTAATGGTGAGTGTGTAATAGGAAGTTGTGATCCAGGCTGGATTGGTGATACGTGTAGTCAAGGTAATTACAAATGATTTTTTAAACTTTCTTTAAATGCATTCAATAATAATGCAGGCATGGTATTGAGCCCGCTGCCGATTAGATGTATCTAATAATATCCATATATCGTAACAAAATTTTTGTACTTTTTATATTTAGGGAATATATATATATATATATATATATATATATATATATATATATATATATATATATATAGAAATGAGAGAATATATACACACATACCACCACATAGATATGCCAGTCCAATTACGGCACAGCGCCTAGCAGAACAGTCATGAAAGCATAGCCACTGCTCATCCACCATCATGGTGGATGAGCAGTGGCTATGCTTTCATGACTGTTCTGCTAGGCGCTGTGCCGTAATTGGACTGGCATATCTATGTGGTGGTATGTGTGTATATATTCTCTCATTTCTATCAATTTATCTGCACACTTGTATCTTAAGTGATCCCACGCAGGGGAAAGTATAACTGTATTGAATTTAATTATCTCCCTTTATATATATATATATATATATATATATATATATATATATATATATATATATATAAATATATTGAGTGCATTGTTGTACAATAATGCACGGTTAAAGTTTAAATGCGTAAGAATATAATCGCCAATGTCGAGTGATAAATTAAAAAGCATTTGAACGATAAATCGTGCATTACATTGTATTAACAAAAATACAAGAAAATTACCTAAGATATTTACATTCTAATATGCTTATAAAAGTATGTTGAACTGCATTGAGAGTAGAAGTAAGTTCCCCGATGTCATTTGGTTATTGACGTCAAATTTGTTTTGTAAAAAAGAGATACCATTACGTTATCGAAATCCTAGATTATGATAAAGTTGTTTGTAGAAAAGCAAAAGAATAAAATATATATGTTTCAATTTAACCAAAGTTCTTTTATATTATATCTGGGTACCGCCGTCATACAATGTATAAGTGGTCGTTGATTGAGCCTTTTGATTGTAAAATTTCTAATTGTTTCTTTAGTAAAGAAGTATATTCTATCGTTATTATTTCGTCATTTGGTAAGTGTGCCCTCATGGAACATTTGGCCAAAATTGTTCAAAAGAATGTCACTGTTTCAACAATTCTTCATGCGATATTGATAGCGGTGCATGTTCATCAGGAACTTGTGAACCAGGATGGCTTGGGGAATCCTGTAGTCAAAGTAATAAGTCAAGTCAAGTGATAAGTATTTTTGCTGAATTTCTTTTGCTATCTCTATTTCCTATAGCAGGATACTATTTGTATTCCACACGTACTGAAGTAATTTTCCTGCAAAAGACTGATGTTATTGGGTAGCGAGTTTCCATCTATTCTATTACTGGAATTTTAAAACGTTTTATATATGTTTTTAAATTCAATTAATATTTAAAATTTTAAAACAAAGCAAAGTAATTTGGAATTCCAAAATAATGACAAAATTTAAAGTCTATAAGGATACAATACATGTAACTGCGGAAGAAATTTATAAAGATTTTTTTTTATTTGGAACATTATGCCACTTTTCATTGAATGACACTAATGTGTCACGTTGAACATCTGCGGATGTTTCTAAACAAAAAAGTCACCATTACCATCATTAAATATTGCATTCTGCTAACCGCCTATGAACAAGCAAACTGACCCTGAAACGATCTAAATTTTGTCATAGGGATTCTTTATTTCTCTTTATTTTGCCGAAAAAATGTAATCTGTCATTCAATTTGAAATTCACAAAACTGAAAAAACATACAATTTATTTTAGAATGTTCATATAGACGGTTTGGGCAAAACTGTGAAAAAGAATGTCACTGTGTGAATAAAACACCATGTAAAAATACAAACGGTGAATGCTTGTTAGGGCAATGTGACCCAGGTTGGTACGGAAGCTCATGTAGCCAAGGTAATTGATGATTACTAATGGATCAATGTTTGTTTAGAATTTTAAATATAATGAGAAAATTATAAAATAAAAAAAGACACTGTGCATGACGAAAACATACGAAAGTATAGGAACTTCACATGATATGTGCTGCTATGTTTCAGATGATGTATGTGATGTTGGCTTTTATGGGAAAACTTGTACTTTCAAATGTAATTGTGCGGACAGAAAAGTGTGTGATTTTACGACAGGAAAATGTCAGTCAACAGAATGTTATCTTGGATGGAAAGGTCCCGCCTGTAACGAAGGTAGATTTTTTTTTGGTGTTGCACACACCGTACAATAAAAATCGAAGACAACCGTTCTAGTATATACATGTCAGCGTAAAAAAATGACGGTTAATATTTATCTATTTTTAATATTTCCCAACTGTGTTCCAGTAATAGTCAGCATAGCGTCAACATCCACTCATCAGCAAGAATGAGTAACGCTGTTCAAAAACCGTTCAACAAAATATTTTTTAGTTGTGCTATAGTAACTAGGAAAGATTATCCTTTTTGTTCTTGTGTGTGCGTGCATGCGCGCGCGTGCGTGCGTGTGTGTGTGTGTTAAAGCTTGTAATTAATATATTTTGTTTGAATGAACAAAGTTGTACTCCCCACACACACACACGCACACTAACTATGGATTTCGTAAGCATGAAGTCTATTAGAAAGTATCATGAATTAATGTATATTTTAAATGTACAAACATGATCTACTCTTTCAAAGTAAAGCACTAGAACCCTAAAAGCTGGTTTGTTGAACGTTTTTCAACGTTATTTATTTTGCCGATAAAGGGATGCCGATGATATCATTAAATAGACGCTAACGATTGATGACGTTACTAAAATTTAGAAGAAATTCTAATTAAAATTCCATATATCTGGGCATGCTTTGGAATATTTTATGTAAAAATATTGACGTTTACGTATCATATCTTAAAATGATTTATTGCCATTTGCCATGAGAAAACGTAAATTCTTGTTTTACAGAAATGCCGTATCTCATCGGAAAGTGTGATTATTTTCAAACAAAATTCACGTATAGTAAAGCTTGCATAGGGCCAGATATTTCGCATGTTCCTTTAAATGTTGACCATGAATCAATAACATTGATTTACTTGTACTCGAACACTTTGGATATCTTAAAAAAAGAAAAATACCGTCCGTCAATTATGTTTTTTTACCGACATATTTATACTAGTACGACTGTCATTGCATTGAAGATAGTCTTTCGAATTTGATTGTACTGTGTGATGCACTGCAATGTAATATAAAAAAGTTTGTTTGTTTGGTTTTACGGTGTACTTACACAGTACAAGTTCTTTGACACAGCAGCATGGCATATATTTTGGCAACTCAAGCCAACCACGCATGTTGTAGCTAGAGATGCATAGACTCCAAATATTCGAACCCATTAATTCACCTCATTCGATCCTGCAGGAATAAAATGTGGCTGTTTTCTTGTGTCACCAAGCAGCTACAAGGGGGTAATGACAAGAGCAGAATAACCTGCAGAGGCAACAGAAAATGACTTGTCTTCTCTGGCTTTTTTTTAGAGATTTTACGCTTAAACGCTTTTAGAACTGAGACATCAATTTTACAACGTACGTCTGGTAGGGTATTGTTGACAAAATATGAAGTCAGTCAGTACTAAACATGCTTTGAATAATTATTTCAATTTTAAAAATACTTTGTGTTGACGATTTTATGTTATATTATGCATACATATTTTACATTTAACATCAGTTCTTGTTTGTAATGTTGGATGGTTTGGACAGTCATGTTCCCTAGAGTGTCATTGTGCTGACAACAAAACATGCAATTCAACAACAGGAGATTGTCAAACACCTAATTGTTTACCTGGATGGACTGGACCTGCCTGTAATAAAGGTAACACATATCTTCACAAAGATATACAATTTGCACCGGCACACCTCGTGTAAATGTTTTGTACTTTTGACAGGTTTTTACACATTATGATTATTACTTCTACTACATATTTATAATCTTACTTGTGACGTTCTTATTGATAACATGATGGCCCTAGGTCGCTCTGCTGAAATTCATCCTAGAGATGGTAAAGCCAGGAATGAAGTCACTGTGTGTGTCTTTTACCTAAGCTGCATTTTTTATATATAGATAAAATGTAGATGACTGTTCAAATATGCTTCATGACAAAAATTTAAGTTCTTGGCATCGTACTTTAACAAAAGAAGACTTAATCAATAATTTTACTATGTAAATATGTTAAAGAAAGAAAGGCGTCAGTCTATTTTAACTAAATCACCCTTAGGTCATTATTACAGGAAGGCAAAACGTTTTCAGCAGTCACACGGCCACAATTTGTATAAGCAATAAAACACACAATCAATATATTTCTCATGGTATGAATTAGTGTGTTATGAAGGAAAATGATTTATAAGCAGGTTTAAATCATTTTGATACATGTGTAGAGGTCATTGCTTATTAGTCTTGTCTTTATTTAAACCCAACTGTTTTGATATATTAATATAAAAAATGTTAGTTTTACAAAATTCATTTAAAGTCGGAAAGAGAAGTCTTTTAACTTTAATTTTACGTTTGAATTTTTATTTAAGAGTGTCCGTACAGGCAATTTGGCCATGATTGTGATAACGAATGTCATTGTTTCAACAATACATCATGCAGTAACATCGACGGCACGTGCTCAATAGGATACTGTGATGCAGGTTGGCATGGTAGTTCTTGTAGTCAAGGTAATAACATATAGCAACCATTGTTTCCTTATAATAATAACAAACGTTTACATTTGAATTTTCTTAAGACGAAACGAAATATTCGAGATTAAGATTATGATAAATTTAGGTAATGCTTTAATTAATCATTAGAACCGACCGTTTATGACACATTGTGTACTTTTTTAGCCATAAAAGAAGAAAATAGGTAGGTTTTGTCGTTTCGAGCTTTCTTTAGGCATTCTGTTTCTCTCAATTTATTGACACACCTGTGTTATTTGTGCAGTGTGGAGACCGTAAAATGTAGCCCGTACATTTAATCAAAGGTGTTATATTTTCGATCTTTGAAGATCAATCATCACGACATTTTTGTTGTGGTGTTTTAGTTCCTTCAATTTGACCATTTTCAACTCAGGTGGTTCCAGTAGATCTACTTGAATACTGTTTAATCACCCCTAGGATATGTTGCCTGCTTTTTAAATTTGTCTTTTGACGTCTTGTCTGTGATGTACAGGTATAACCTCAGATCCTCTTTCAAAATTGCTTTATATTTAGTTCCGCTCATTATTTTTTCTCGTTTAGGGCACACGCATTTTTTACTAGGCACCATAAGTCTGCTTTTCATGGAATGGCACTACCGTGTCACATTGAAAGTTCCATGATAACCGCCGTATGAACATATCTGCAGATGTTTCTAAATTCAAAATTTCACCACTTTCGAGTTTAAATGTTGAATTATGCTTAAGCCGGTGCTACGGGAGTGGACGATAACTTGCACTTTCCAGTACCGTCCATGAACAGGTCAATCAAACCGAGCATGCAACAGTTTCAATTATGTCGTGTTGTTCTTTTTTAGCGATTCTGTTTCTTTCTATTTTGTTATAAATAACTATGCACACGTGACATATATATTAAAAAACGTTATATTGCCAAGACTATCAAAATATCGAAATTAAAATGCAGACATCTTTTATTTAAATTAATTTTAGAGTGTCCTAAAAGAACGTTTGGTCAAGACTGTGGAAAAGAATGTCACTGTTTCAACAGCACATCATGCAATAATATCAACGGGGCATGTTTAGTAGGTTTGTGTGACCCAGGTTGGCACGGTAGTTCTTGTAGTCAAGGTAACAGGACAAAAGCTGATCCTATTGGACCAGGTAAGACATAGAAAAGAAAAATTCAGATTATTTCCCTAATCAGGTCATTAAACCTTATGGTAATTGGTCGAAAGGAGTTTGTTTTATTGTAACATTTTAAACTAAACCAAACTGACATTGCATCAGCACGTTTACATACAATGAATGCAAGCATACATAAGATACGTAAAGTGACTCAATAGTGATGGTTTATTTGCCTTGATCATTTCATAAAATTCAGTCGACGATGAAATTAAAAAGTATGGATAATGTGGCCCAAAATGCAATAAACATTTTATATTTAAAAGCTTTAAATTGCGATTTTCCTTCCCCTTTAACCATTATACAAGTATGTTAAAAGAGTAGAAGAATATATCGGTGATAAATGCTACAATTTTGAAAATAAATGCTGAATATATGAATATGAAATATCAAGAAGGCAAATTATGTCACTAGTAACTGAAGTGTTAACCTCTCTTTCATTTGTGAATCTTGTCCGTCTGAAAAAACATACTTCGCCCTTTGTGCAACTTCTAGAGCTTCTTATTCTGATTTTCTAGCATAATTTAAATACAGAATTAGTTTTCACTAACGATAAACAGAATAACAATCAAAAACCTCTAGTAATGATTTACAAACACGTCTTTTAACAGTAAGGTCGCTGCCAGTTATGTCATATTCGATTCTTACACAAGGTAAATGATTATTGTTTATTCTGTTTTGCTGTCTTTCTTTGAACAGATTGGTGTAGTTAACTCATTTTAAAGTTAAATTTTATTTTATGTTTGCCCTTTTAAGCAATATTTTAAGGTACAATCTTGATACAATTTTTGATATAAAACATTCAATCTTAAACTCTTATATCTTTATGAAATGCATATTATTTTATCTGTATTTCTGGTTATTTTGAGAAGTACAGAGATGTGATTTATATAGGCATTACTCATTTTTGTGCATAATAGTTTAGTTTAGCAAATAACCAGCTTCAATACACTCATTATTCAAGTTATATATTTCATAGCTATGCAAATCCCCGAGAGGACATTTAAACATTTAAATAGATTTTATAACAATCAAATGCCATTGAGGTAGAGATACAAAAAGTTAAGCCCAATATTAATCTTCAAAATTGATTTTGATATCATGACGAGAAAATTAATCAGTAAACAGTTTAAAAATTCTTTAGTCCCTAAAATGTTTACAGTTTTATGTTCAAAAATCATGCTATTTTAATGGTATTGTTCAGTTCGAGAAATGTTACTACCTCTTTGCTATTGATTTTTCCTGTCACAGGTCACTCTCTCTCATTTGTTTAAAGTACTCTGATTTGAGATTGTTTTCGTAAAAACCAGGATTTACAAAGTGTTATGACATGAATTAGTAACTTTCATAAGCATGTAATGGTATTTCTATACTACCGAGTTTTGCAATGAGATCCTGTATATGCTCCTGTACATATACATTTATTAAGAAATATGCTGATGTACATGTCCCGCCATTGTAACATATGCACCTATTTATATCTGTGTTTATAAAGAAGTTAAAAGAATTCGATAATATAAGAAGAGACATAATTACTGTAAGAAGTTAATTCGATAATGTTAGTATGTAAGTCACTTTATCCAAGATACGTAAGACTATGTCCGATTAGTACACTTAAATTGTCAAGCCAATCTTTTTAAAAAAAATAAGTTTTGATTTGATAATGTCTGATTTTGTACATTCAAAAACATTTTATTTGTATAAATAAGAGAACTTATCTGGTGTGCATTATTGATTTCGGTAAAAATATGATTCGGAGGTATCTTTCTTATTTGCAAAATACAAATCATGTCTGATAATTCTTTTAAGAACGGATAATAATTAAGCCTTTGTTTATAATGTTTTTTTTTATGTATGTAAATATGATTTCAGATAAGGGAAAGAGTTAAGTCATGTGGTAGTGTACATAAAAATATTATCATTAGAATCTTTCATTTCCCACATACATTGCGAACATAACTTAATGCCTAAAATATGTATGCACATATTAAAGTTTCGAAGTATAAACTTACAAAACGTTTACTGTCAATATTGTCCCAGTATGAAATGTCATTTTGCCGAATGTTATAATATGTAATCAATTCAATAAAATAAGATAAACTAAGATTTAAAAACATTTTAGTTTTAATACACTATGTAAGACATTCCACCGTAAAACCTTTGACTAGATGATTCTTATCAGACGGACAATATTTTGTATTGAATGATAAACTATGCCCAAATTTAAATTTAGAAAATACTGATAATTGCTGCACAGTCTCTATGTTCATGTACAATAACATGTTTTCATTTCACATAAATAGATACATGTATGTTACAAACTCTACACACTTTAAGTGGTCACAATATGAATATGTACAGTCATTGAAAACCTGGCAGTTTTTTAAGAAATTACCATGGGATATGCTTAGTAAGAATTTTAAAGATTTCAATAAATTTGTGTCTTTAAAGAATTTTACTTAAGGATAAGCGTTGTATTTCTTTTACAAAGAAATGTTTAATTCAGGAAAACAACGAGGGTTCTTTCTAAATACTTTTAGTTTATTTTTTTATTGGAATATACAAATAATCGCTTCGGTTTAAAATTGAAACATTGTTTGCTAAAATGATATATAATGATATTTAGTATCATTTCATGCCGACATCGCACAAAGAAAATGTGTATGTGTTTAAATAATTATTAAACATGCCGACTTTTTTCATTGTTTTCAGAAACTTTGAAAGGTGAAAATTCAACAGAAATTATCAGTAACAAGGAAGGTAAAATGAATGCAGGCACGATTGCAGGAATAACTATTGGTGTTATCTTGGCTGTAGTAGTAAATGCAGTAGTAATTGTAGTTGTGGTAAAGAAGATGAGACAGGCTTGTAATGGTAGGACGACTTTATTTAAGTAAATTGTAATATTACATGTATTTAAAAATTTTGCTTAAAATTGCTGGTTATTTAGTTAGTGGTTTGGAAATTGTCTTAAGACCTTTTATTCCACCAATGCTATCTCTATTTTGAAAATGAAATAGGTTCACAACCGATGTACACTTTTTAAAAAAATCAATAAGTGTACACGTGTTTCTAAACTTAAATTGGAATAATAATGTACTGCTAAATATGGAGACACATAATGGGACAATTTTTGTCACTTATATTTGACACAACTAACTAATAGACAATGGTTTCAATACAAAATTGTACACAGAATACTTGGCAGAAACGAACAAAGATAGTCTAAACTGCAGTTTTTGCATCAATAATGCTAAAAGCTTCGAACACTTCTTTTGGGACTGTGAGGTTGTTTTCGATATGATTTATGGTCTTTTTGAAAATACTCATTTGTATGGTGGCTTCGTGTTTTCGCCCCCCCCCCGCCATTTTAACTTGATAATTATCGACTTTTCGCTTGGCGGAGTCTCAGGCGAACACAAATCAGCCACCATACATTTGCATTTTGTAAAAAGAAAACCACTTCTTTTAGGCATACAAAATACATATTATGAAACAAAAAGTTTTGCTTTTATTTGTAAAGAAGTACATATATAATTGTAAAATGAATTTAAAAAGACCGTTTATAGAGGTTGCTAAGCATTATATGAAGTACCAATACCAAATCGATAGAGAAACACAAACAATAATTAACAAGGTAGATAGTTTTGACAAACATTGGGAAAGTTTAAAATATACTAATAATATCTGTCATATGTTGCGGTTCGTTACTTAATATATATATATATATATATATATATATATATATATATATATATATAATATATATATATATATATATATATATATATATATATACAAAAATGAAAACAAGTGCCCTGATGATCATAAGAGAAACCGGTTGGCAAATTAATTAAATAAGTTAACTCATGGACTGTGTTTTTTGTTTTATTTATATATATATATATATATATATATATATATATATATATATATATATATATATATATATTATATATACATATATATATATATATATATATATATAAATTCAACTTTTCTCAAATAGTTTGAAAGACTAACATGTCTTTGAAAAGTTTTCATAAATCACACTACCTTGATATGCATATCTGTTTTAGGTGGCTTCAGAAGGTTTTAGAAAACAATGCATAAATTACTAGGAAAAGGTATGTTTTTAAGTCAACAACTTTCAAATACAAATCTATGTCTTTTACGATTGAATCATATCTAATTTATTTATGATCAAGTCTTACGCCTTTTTTCACTGAACACATTTTCCTTCTTCACTGATGTATTTTGAAATGTTCAATCTCCTTGCATAGATTTTGAGCGTCTAAACATTATCATTGTCAAAATAGTTTCAGAATAACGTCATTTATGTTTTTTTTTATTTCATTCAGCCAAACATAAATTATTTTTATCTTATCATGAATGTTATAATAGATAACAAACACTTTATAGGAGTAGCAATGACACACTGAATATTTATTTCAATACACACAAACATACATCGACGACATGTATATAAAATACTTATAATGATTTAAGTATATGTGTCCCTGCACTTAACATTTAATTATGTGTAAAATAAATGTAAAGTCCCTTGTCACCGATCCACTCAATGCAGTTCACATATACACATATGTGGTTCCGCAAATCACTATCCATTCCTCTTGGATACATTGTCTTAATACAAATAATAAAAAAGGTTTAAAAAACTTCCACAGTCAGAACCACTTCACTGATACTTCTTATCCATGATATTTGTTAAGACAATAACAAAAATTGTCAACTCTGAAAAATACAAAGCAAAATGAGAATCTCATTACATATTTCTATTTTAACAAACAAAGCTGTGATAATGGGTGGGTGGGTGATAATAGGTTAAGATAGATTTAAATAAACGTGTCGTTCTACATGTTCTATCAGTGTGTCAAAAGCTTCGATAGTGATAAACACGCCGTTACTCACTATTTATACTAATGTAGTTCCTAATCTACCCGTATGTAAAATATTGCCGCCAAAACTGGCGTATTGATATATTTTACATCCTGTATTATCATAAACATTAGTTTAATATCTTAAAGCATTAAGAATAACATTAACGCAACGTAAATAAATATATATTATATAAATTTAATTTAGTTTCAATATTGCCTTCCTCTTATTACGTGCAAGCACCTTTGATTTACATCGCGGGAGCAAATGGACTACTCTAAACCTAAAAAATGTTGAACAAAAGCTGAAATCGCGGAACAAATGTCTGTAAAACATAAATGTTTATCTCCTATTTAATATTTTAGCCATCCATCTTTAAAGGATAACCTTTGTTTTATCAGTTTCTCTAAAAACCGATAACAGACAGTTGCCACAAAACTATTGGTAATCGTATGGCGACTAATCTTACAGAATAATATAACATTACACAAGATAATGAACACATTAAAGAAAGGTATTTTTGGTCAATTTGTACCTAATATTCTATTGACTAAAAAAAATGCAAACAACCGCCAGATTGTTAAATACAGTTATTCTTACAATGTTAGATGATTACAGTAGATCTTAAATTCATGTTTCCTTTTCAGGGACGGGATTTTGCCCGTGTAAGGAACGCTTTGCAACTGTAAAAAGTTACACTATCCTTGCCTGAGTATTTGTTTTTTATATTCGATTGTTCTTTGTTTAGATAAAATGTAAATTTGATTATGATTTAAACGGTAAAAATCTTTAAAATATTAAATAACATGATAAAACAAATAATAAACAGAAACAAAAGAAAATAAACCGACATGTCAAAAAGATAAGTAAAACTGCATTATCATTATTATACCAATATCATTTTATTTCAATGGTGTCAAGGACGCATCACAGTTGAAATCGTGAACATTTCAGTCATCACTTCCATTTATATTCTCTCTTATTATTGTTCATAAAATTCATATTATTAAACAATAAATTGATATTTATCTTTCAACACTATTCTTTTTGTTGATGTTTACTTTTATATATTTTTGTATTGCTTTTAAAATGTGCAGCTAACAACGGACGTGAATTAATGATATTTAATATAGTTGAAGAATTTAGTCTAGTTTTGAAGCTAGACATACGTGCTTGGAGCATGAGATACCGTACCTTTCAATATGGTCATCTTTTATCAAAAAATAATCAAACCCAGTACGCAAGTTGCACCTTTAAAATGTTTGTTTACATTGATTGTCGCAACAAAAAAGTGAAAAGAGATAATTTGAAGTAGGTGACTAATAGTTTTTTTTTATAGAATAAGGTTTATATACCGTAATCTATGAACAATGAATCATGATTAAAACTGCCATAAAGAAAGGAGGCCTTTCTTTATGAATAAAACATTTTCGAAACGACAAATTAAAAAATAAAACACTACTAATATAGTTATAATTATTTTTTTGTTGGGAGGCTGGGGGGGGGGGTAGAGGTGTTAGAAGCACGTACAATTGTGCCATTAAGATAGCTTCTTGGCCAAGATTAAATTGTACAAAGTTGTTGAAGGTTTAAATTAAAAAGTAAATTATAATCTTCAATAATGTTGATAATAATAAGAAAAAAAAAAAACAAAAACAAAAACAACAACAACAAAACAGCAACAAAGACATATGCGTGCACTGGATATTCAGAAGTTATATAGAGGATATTGAATGAGTGTAAAATCAATACTGAATTTATTGATTTATCACATACCCAAAATAAAGACCATTTAAAGTAAAATAAAAGTCATTTTTTCATTGACGCGCCTATAGTTTAACGCTAACATTTAGTTTAAACATATTTATTTCAATATTTTACATATATTACATTTTATATATATATATATAATTGTTACATAAATTGAAAGGGATTAGAACGAAAGAAAACTTATATAGTTCCTGTCCCTAGATAGCAAATGATATTTACACAAACATCTATGGCAGGATAGGTATTTCATTTAAAATATTGCAAGATTTAGTTTAAACATAAACAATGAAAAAAAAAATCAGAAATGCAACTAAATAAGACAATTTTCTGATAAGTACTAAGCAAAAGAAAAACAGACAAAAATAAGTAGTTTTTATATTTAAACTGGCACTTAAATCACATTTAGCAATACTCTAGAAATTAACTTTTTTCAAACTAACCAGAAAAATAGTATATGTATATTAAAAGAAGAGAAAAAAATAATGGAAAGACCAGACTAACGATCAGAGGTCAAATTGGAGATATAGCAGTATTTTAAATGTTGGCAGTATAAAAATACATCTAGTGGAAACGTCCGCTGCTATTTATAAATTCAAATACTGCATCTAATATCCATGTGTTTGTTTGATAATCATTTGACGGATCTCCATATAGAAGGGTTCGAAGATTAATGGGACATATTGGAGTCAATGTTTGAAAAAGTGCATTTCTTATTTGTGTGTAATTCTTGCAAATAAAGAAAAAATGGTGGTTGTCTTCAATTAGGCCACAACTACATAATGGAGATGATACTATATTTTTTAAGAACAGATGGTGGTTAAGAAAGCTGCATTTCGTTCTAAGTCTTGTATGAAGAATTCGTGACCTCTATCTCCATAATAGAAGTGTCGGGGAGTTTTAATTTTGTCTACGTTCAAAGAGCTTTTGAAAGAATTCAATGACTGTAGCTGACGGGTTTCAATTGGTAAGGAATTCCATTCACGAAGTGCCGTTGGTAGAAAGGAATTATAGTATAGAGTTGTTCTTGTACGAATTGTATCGATATTTTGAGAATTACGTAAGTTATATGTAGTGTTCAGACCAACAAGATCTGGTACACGCTAACATTTAGCGCGTCTTTATACTATGTTTGTAACATTTAGCGCGTCTTAACGCTATGTTTGTATAACGCTAATGACGTCACGTCAAAATGTATGCACGGCCGTGCAATACCATATTTACGGAGTCGCAAAATCGGCACGAGTGTGTGATAACGCCCGGTAGTTTACCCTATTGCGATATAACGGTCAGTATAACTTTTTAATGGAAACAAATACAGTTTACGAAGTTTAACAAATTCAGTTGACGAAGTTCACCGAATAAGATTAATATATTGTGTGCATTGACCAAATAATCAGTATGCAATTGACAGGTTCGTAAAATCAAACAATACGATTATACACGAATGTGACACCTAGCCTGAATACAAAGTAATTCTCTTTTTCACCTATTTATCACATAATCATTATCAAAATAATATTAAATTTCTTTTTGTCGATATTTGTTTTTCTTTCTTCATGTTGTCCATGTTTCTGCCAACATTATTAGGGTCCTGTTATAAAAAGCCCTGTAGAGAAGTTTGAAGCTGATACGATTTTCCATTTGATAAAGTGGAAGTAATAAGGAGCAAAAAGGAAATGATACATTGAAGAAACAATAAATGATACTTGTTTATGACATGCTTTCCGGTGGTGTATAGAAATATAATAGTGAAATATAAAACTGATAAACTCACGGTTTGAAACAGTGAAATTATTAATTTGGTAATTTCACTGTTTTGAATTTAAGCCCCTTACGTTGTTTCAGTAAAAAAAGCAGCGTGCTGGAAACCAACTTGATGACGTGATGTCAAAAATGACGTCAAGTTGTATTTTGTGCGCTTTTTATTTAGTGTTAGGTTAAATTGCCTTTTCAAACGTTTCTTTGCATATAATAAAAAGAAAATTAGTTTAGTTTAGTGTAAGATCGAATTATATTTCACCTCGTGAACACCAAAATTTCATATTTTACTCGTGGCTGTGCCACTCGTGAAATATACCTTTTGGTGCTCACTCGGTGAAAAATATTCCGATCTTATATTGAGCTAAACAAAGACGTAATTTAACGCGAAATAAGACGTTTTAATACCTATATTACTATATATAGTAACAAAATTTTGGTCGCTTTTCTACTTGGTTTTATTTATCCATAATTGGCGAGAAGATGAGCACGCGTGCAAAAATGACGTATCCAACTTTCAGCCACCTTTAAGATGGCTGTCGTCGTTGAATAAACTATAGTCACTTGCACACACAATTTTAAGTTTATGTGACAAAATCAATCGCAATCAACAAAGCTTAACAATGAAGATTTATAAACACAAGAATAAAATCCAATAACTGTGGCCAAAACGTGACCCTCAGAATTTCCGGATATGACTTCCGAATGACGGTAGATAGACACGAAAACAGCAGAAATTTAAAACTGAAGACTTATATCTTGTCAATTAAATCTAAATCTAGACATTATGTGCATTCTCGGGCAATTTCACATAATGGCGAGCTGTAAGTATCTACCTCAGAATAATGCGAAACAAAAGGCGTGAGAACGCAAAACAAGAGGCGTTATAACGCGAAACAAACAAAAATCAGCAAGATAATTTCTACGGAGCCTCTAAGGTGACATTTTCCCATTTTCAACACTTTTTCTCAAGATTTAATTCGTTTTTACAAAATATTAATTCGTTTTTACGAAACATTGTTTCATAATTATAAAATATTAATTCGTAAAAACGAAATATTATTTCGTAATTACGAATTATATTTCGTAAAAACGAGTTAATATTTCGTTATTACGAATTAATATTCGTAATTACGAATTAATATTTCGTTTGTAAGAATTTATATGAGCCGCGTCACGACAAAAACAAAATAATGGGTTTGCGACCAGCATGGATCCAGACAAGCCTGCGCATCCGGACTGTCTAATCAGGATCCATACTGTTCACTATCAGTTTCTCTACTTGTTATAGGGTTTGTGAGCGAACAGCAGGGATCCTGATCATCCATGCTGGTCGCAAACCCACTATGTTGGTTTTGTCGTGACGCGGCTCATATTTTTTTTACGACATGCATCTTGGATTAAACGGAATCACAATATGCTCAATAGCACCTTTCTTGACAGCTCAACAACTTGATACCTTTGACATTTACTATCTTTATATTTAGTGTTTTTATGAATGATCGCATGGTGGCAGTACACAAATGTTAGGAAATATATTTTAAGTGAAAATCTGAAAGTCAGCCCCTTTAAGATTTACTTATTTGTATGATAAAAGAAAAAATAAAGAACATGTCAGAAATTACAACATTTTTAATTTTTACCAGCTGTAGGGAATATTTTTTTGAAAAAAGGGGAAATGAGGATGTTTTGGATTGAAAATGACTTCTCATTCAAAAATCCTGTTCACTCTTATATAATAAGCCGCTTATAAACGTTATATTTGGTGGCAATGTTAATCCAGGCTTGATCTGACCCCTTTTGCTTGTCAGGTAAGAATATTCTGTTAAGCAATTCAAACTTTATGTCAGGCCAATTATTTAAGTAGCTGTCGTTACAAAAGTTCAATGCATTGATGTCAAATAAAAGTAAAAAATATATGTTTAATCTAGCAAAGTATATAAAAGAAGCATTGTGTTTACGTCAAAATACCCTTGAAAGTTTACCTGTCTTCTGATCGTATATTGTACTTCATTATTTGTCTATGTTAGTTATGTATATAATAGTCTTTGCCATAAGTTTTTTGTTTGTTTGTAAATGGCCAAAGGCAAATGTATTGCTGATTGCCAATAAATAAATGAAATGAAATGAAATGTTATTACTGAATGAAGGTATCGTGACTGTTTGATGGTATTTTATGGGTCAAATTGTGCAAACTTTTTTTTAAATTTGAAAAAGATATCTATATTTGTTTTTTGTATATTCCTCCTAGTACTTCTGTCTATTATGCTATACATGAAATAGGCTACTTTGACAAAATTGAACAGGGTTTATGTAAATATTCAGACTGCGGTGAAGTTGCTGTAATTGGCGATTTAAATGCAAGGTGTGGCGAGCGATCCGACGTTTTACAATCAAGTGACGATTTTAACAAATTTATAAATGTTTTAGATCAAAATGATGGTGTAGAAAACAAATTTGATTTACCGCATAGATTTACTATGGATAATGGCGTAAATTCGTCTGGTTTAAGA